GTGAGTGCATGCCTAGTCCGGCAGGTGCGCTCCAGATGGCAAGACACGATCTTTGACAAAGGTAACGATTTAGAAAGCAGCTTCACATTCAATCGTACATGAAAAGTAAGCACGGAATTGGATTGATTTCATTCAACCAGTACAGCGGGTTCAACATAGCAGTGCTCCGAACTGAAGCTACATACAAAGAACGAGGTATTTAGACAACAATTAACGTGACCTTGATGCCGTCAAAACTGTCAACACCGTCTGCCATACGAAAAGGCATCATGATCGTTTGGAATTCACGGTCTCTCGCTTTCGTGCGGGAAAAAGCGTTGCTGGCTGCCATCCACCCCTCTATGGCAGACCACTTTGCAACAAGTACTCTGGTCATTTTCAACGCAACTACTCCAGTCTGGAAGGCGTACACTACCGTTGTAAGGATGGCCTCGCTTGTGCCGAGTCGAGTAAGCTACATGTCCTCGGAACAGCGCGATAGCCAGCAGACCTTCGTTGGGTTTTCTGTCGACAACAGATAGCTAGGTGATGTCTGCCAAAAAAGGAAGAGTCCACCAGCTGTATGTAAGAAAACAGATGAAAAGAGAAGAAAAGAGAAGAAAACAAAAGCCAAAGGTGTTGAAACGAGCACATACACGCATGTTCATCGTCGATATATTTATCGTGGAACTCGAGTAACGTGAGCTCGGCGAGTTGTTGCGAGCGGGCTTGTACCCGCACCTCGTATTCGGCTCCTGTGGCCCTCGGGGTCCTTGGAGTACCAACTTACCGCAACGCAATTGCGAACACTGGAGTGCTATCCGAGTTGCCGCAGCCCATCCATCTTACCTAAGGAGTGTGAGATGTAGTTGATCCCTAGTATCTCGTACATTAGAAAGCGCAGTACGTACCAGCGACAGGGGCATAATATCTCCCACGTGTTCTCGATTGAAGACAGTCAAACAACATGGTGATGGAACCTGCAATTGACATGGTAATAAAGCCGGTGAATGAGGAGTGGCTAATATCAAGTCGACAAGCTGCAACAGTTTCCCAACTTCGCAGAAACGCCCAGACGCTGCAGAGATGTCAACTAGAATGATAAGAGCCCGTTTCATGCTTCAGAGAAACGACAGGAGCTCAAGCTGCATCCTAGACTAGTGACAGATCCACGAAGAACAATCGTGATGAGTAACACGAGTTTGATCTGATGACGTTTGGTTGTGGCTGACGCAAGAACGACGATTAGCTAATCGTTGTCTCTCCAGCAAGTGTCAAGAATGGAGGGGCAACTGTCAGCCCCTCGTCCAGGATGAATATCGGACGCACGCTCTGGAAGAAGTGATGGCAACGAATGCAATGGCAGAGTTGACGTTGACAGAACCTTGCGAAGCTGAAGACATGGCAAAAGCTTGAGTCCCATCGGAAATACAGGATATGTGCGATGATGAGGCGCAGATGGAGATGGTGGTGAGGTTGGCCCTCGGATTCTTATTCGGGTTCCAGGTTGGCAATTGCGAGCATGTGAGTGGCCACAGACCACCTCCACCGTTGGACGCTGTATTATCCGTACCTGCCTCGGGCAGATTCGCAGATTTCCGCCAACAGGGACGAGGGTCGGCTGGGGTAGTTTCTAGCGAATCGAAGACGGAGGGCACCAGAAGCCCTTCACGACAACAGTGTTTCAAAGGTGGAAAAGGGCGTCGATTGGCGACTGGATGGGGGCAATTTGAAAGTGGCTTCATCGCATTGAAAGACTTGCTTCTAGAGTTCTCGGTGTTGGCCTTCTATCGAATCATTCCCGTCTGCCACTGCTCGATTAGGCAGTGAGGGTCTCTTTATACGAATACGAACGGCCCGTCATTGGTCGGTAGCCGGTGCCAACTCATTGGCCCATCCGGCACCCTTGCTCCCGATTTTCTGGCGCAACATGCAAGCTGGAGCAACAGTCTCCAAAGCACTAAGGGGCAAGCCGCAAAGGTCTGGCAGGAAAGGTAGGCAAAAAAATCAAAAAAAAAAATCAAACCATGCATCCTGTTTCCTGGCAGGTGCACTGAGCGGCTCAGGCCTTCTAGGCACTAGGGACGATCTAGGGACGGCCTAGGGCCCCTGTGACAGACGCCCCCAAAATGCGTTGCGGGTGGCTACCGTGCCACTGGCCAGATGTCACAGCTTCTGGGCTCCATGGATATGCGAGATGCGCTTGACCGCCGGGAGCTTTCCCATATGGACCATGCATTGGCTCGCTCATCGCGCAGGTTGCTTGCGCAAAAATGTGGGACCCAACAAAACGCGGCAGATATCTAATCTCACTATGTGATAATTTAAAACCACCTCTGTAGCCCCCCCTTCTCGATAACCTACGCCCTCTGCTCTCTCTCGCGCCACTGCTGCTCGTGTGCTACCTCCGGTCAAGAAAGTTGCGATCGCAGCCAAACTCGACGACATCGCCAGTCCGCGTTCAATTGGCTCCTTCTTCGCTTCCCTTCACACTACCAGCGACCCCTTTTCGCGCCCTCGAGGATGGGTCTCCTGCAGGAGGTCGCAGGACCATTGTCGGACCAGTTCCAGAATCTGGGAACTGGTCTGCAGGTCACCGTCGGCTTTTTCGCCGTCATCGTCCTCTCCGTCGTCCTCAATGTCTTGTCCCAAGCTCTCTTCAAGAACGCCAACGAGCCTCCTCTGGTCTTCCACTGGTTCCCCTTCGTCGGCAGCACCATCACATATGGCATGGACCCCCCGACCTTCTTCAAGGTCAACCGTGAAAAGGTATGCGCACCCTAAGACTCCCAGTGTCGCAATAAACTTCCGGAACAAGCCTCCCGTACTGACAAGCATCACCCTGACAGTATGGTGATATCTTCACTTTCGTCCTCCTTGGCAAGAGAACCACCGTCGCCGTCGGCCCCCAGGGCAACGACTTCATTCTCAACGGCAAGCTCAAGGATGTGAACGCCGAGGAGATCTACACCGTCTTGACCACTCCTGTCTTTGGACGCGACGTCGTCTACGACTGCCCCAACGCCAAGCTCATGGAGCAGAAGAAGGTACATTGCCGCGGAAACTCTCCCGCCGGAAGCTTTGTTGCTGACAGCTCCCGCCCCTCCAGTTCATGAAGATCGCCCTGACCACCGAGGCCTTCCGCTCCTACGTCCCTATCATCGCCGACGAGGTTTCCAACTACTTCAAGCGCAACCCTGACTTCAAGGCCAACTCCGGCGTCGTCAACCTGCCTCCGAAGATGGCCGAGATCACCATTTTCACCGCTTCCCACGCGCTCCAGGGTGCCGAGATCCGCAACAAGTTCGACGAGACCCTCGCTGCTCTGTACCACGACCTCGACATGGGCTTCACCCCCATCAACTTCACCCTGCACTGGGCGCCTCTCCCCTGGAACAAGAAGCGCGATCACGCCCAGCGCACCGTTGCTCAGATCTACATGGACACCATCAAGGACCGCCGCGACAACGGCCGCACTGACGGTCTTGACATCATGTCCCACCTTATGAACTCCACCTACAAGAACGGCACCAAGGTCCCCGACCACGAGATCGCCCACATGATGATCGCCCTCCTCATGGCCGGCCAGCACTCTTCGTCTTCCACCAGCTCCTGGATTATGCTCCGTCTCGCCCAGTACCCCCAGATCATGGAGGAGCTCTACCAGGAGCAAGTCCGCGTTCTCGGCGCGGACTTGCCTCCCCTCAAGTACGAGGACCTCGCAAAGCTGCCCCTCAACCAGGCCATCATCAAGGAGACCCTCCGCCTGCACGCTCCTATCCACTCCATCATGCGCGCCGTCAAGTCTCCCATGCCCGTCCCCGGTACCAAGTTTGTTATCCCCACCAGCCACACCCTTCTCGCCGCTCCCGGAGTTTCTGGAACCGATCCCGCCTACTTCCCCAACCCCGAGGTCTGGGACCCCCACCGCTGGGAGGCCGACTCTCCCAACGCCCCGAAGATTGGCGGCAAGGATGCCGAGGACGAGGAGAAGGTCGATTACGGTTACGGTCTCGTCAGCAAGGGTGCCGCGTCGCCCTACCTGCCCTTCGGCGCCGGCCGTCACCGTTGCATCGGCGAGCAGTTTGCCAACGTGCAGCTGCAGACCATTACCGCCATGATTGTCAGAGAATTCAAGTTCCGCAACGCCGACGGCAGCGACAAGCTCATCGGCACAGACTATGCCTCTCTCTTCTCGCGGCCTCTGGAGCCTGCCAACATTTACTGGGAGAAGCGTGAGGCGTAAGTTTTTGTGGGAGCGGGATTTGGTCAGATTTTGGGTTTTAGGGAATGTATATTGTAAGCCATTATGACTATATCACATGGCCGGAGACAAGAAAAAGACATAGACATGAGAGCGCTACGGCGCAGATGGCAGACTAAAGATGGTCGCTGTCGAATAATATTAATACAAAAGACGTTATGACATCACGACCAACATCCATCAATCCCACCAAAGAAAGAAAAAAATTGCCGATCCCCGTGGCGCAAACCGTAATCGCGCTGATGAATTTGACGTATATTGTTAATCAGAAGTTTAAGCTCACAGGCCGTACTGTGTCCCCGTGCAGGCGCATGTCAAGGGTGCGGGGCCCGGCCGGATGGTGATGTTGACGACTTCCCCATGCTGGGACTTGTTCGGTCGGTCGGCACAGCGTTTTGTTTCAAAGTCAGTGCGGTAACTGGGGTGGTCTGGACGACGTCTCAGACCGGGACATCCCCCCTTCTCAACCTTCGCCTCATCCCAATCCTACACCTTAGGCTCACTCATACCCAGAGCCGTCACTCACGCAATCGCCTTACGAACAGCCGCGTACAATTGGCGTGGGGGTTTTTGAGTTTATCCCTTGACGTCGCATCCAACGTCAATTGCATCCCGAACCGTCCGTCGTCACTCGATATATATCGAGGTTACCGCGTGAAAGATAAACAGTCCAAAGATTCGCCCTGCGACGGCAAATTCGTGCGGTCGCATTACTCGTCAAAGAATCCGGGATCTACGCCCAATGCCGACAGTCGGAATGAGCGCGGAGGACGAGAACCTGGGGCCCCTGGTCCGGCTATGGGGCCTCCGGACGGAGCAGCTCCCGGCGCCGAGCGCAACTACGGCCGACTTGGCGCCGTTCCTCATCGCCGTGCTGCAGGAAGCCGTCCCTTTTATCGATGCCGTCGCGCCCAAGGATGGTACTGCACGGCCAAGTGAGTGGAAGGCGAAGGGCACCAAGTCCTACCCTGAGTCGACGGCGCAGGTTGAGCTGTACGAGCGCGTTATCCCCGCCGCAGAGCTCGAAAAGGAGGCGGCGAGGAACAGTCTGTCTAATGGCGTGGATGCTCCTGAGACGTGGGCTTGTCGGAGGAGTATTCACAAGGACAGGCCCTCGAAGGGGACTGCGGCTTGGGAGGAGTTTGTAAAGTGCTTCAAGGACGACCATGTTGAGGCCGAGAAGGCGTTTACTCCGAATGTCATGGAGGCGAGAGAGGCGCTGGCCTGGGATTGTGCCGGGGTCGCTGTTGAAGAGGGCGGCTCGACGTGGGACGACTTCAAGGTCGGCGTATTTGAGATCAAACACAAACTCGGGATGCCGCTGAAGAACCGCGTATTTCCCGAGTTGATCATTACGGCAAAGGCGAGGGAAGCCGACGAGTTCATCGTCGTGTCTATTCCCATGGCAGATCTCGACAAGGCGGACTACGGCGGACTGGTGAAGGAGAAGGGGATCGTCATGGCAGCCTATGTGAGCGTCGAGAGAGTGAGGAAGACGCCAACGGGCGCAATCGAATGGATCATGGCAACGGCATCGGACGCAAAGGGGGTCTTGCCTGCTTGGATACAGGCCAGAGCTGTGCTTGGCGTGGTTGCCAAAGACGTGGCGCTCTTTCTGGGATGGATCGCTGAGGAGCGCGAAAAGGGAACGAGCGTGGGCAAGTGGACTGCCGTCAAGGGGAACAGAACCGATCCCAACCGCAGAGCATCGACTGCTCTTGAGGATGGCGAATCTTCCTCGCAGGGAAGGAACTCAAGACAAGGGGTGTCGTCGAGACACGGGAAGGAACCGGCTGCTAGTCTGAACGGGACGAGGGCAGGGACGAATGGGCAAGCACACGTTTGAACGGCGCGTTCTGGGATATTGGATGGAAATAATGGAAGGCGACTAACTACCCTACCCTAATTTGCAACTTATGGAATTCGCTCAATCGCATTGTTTCGTTGCCGGGCCACGTCGAAGATGCATACTTTGATCGGTACTCAGCCGTCCACTTCTTGTGCCTCTGGACACCTTGAACAGGAGGTGAGTACAACATGACAGTTCAGATAGGCCAAGAAGTTGCGAGTCAACAGAGTTGCTGAAGAGGGGCTTCCTTCCTCGTCACCGCAACCGAGGAAGGTGCTAAGGGGAGACTCCTGCCGCCGGAGACTAAAGGCGAGGGGGCCTTCTTTCCCAAAACAAGGTACTTATATGAGGTGAAAGGCAGTCCTTAGCCTGCACCGGCGCTTGCCTTGGAGCCCGTCACCTGCCCTACTACGTGTCTGCCTTCCTTCCGCCGTTAAACTTCCCCTCTCCCATTATCAGAGCCCTTCGTTTGATTCCCAATGCCGACCGACGCACGGTGTCGGCCACATCCCTCCCCGCGTCTTTCTTACTGCTGAATGGGCTTCTTCTCACATTCGTTTCCGATTTCTTTCCAATCTAGCCACGTTCCCCTTAATCTTTGGTATTCAGAAGCTGCTGTCTTGTATTCCCGTCGCGAACCCGAGATTCGTTCAACAATTCAATCAGAATGAGCGTGACCTATCCCGCCAGACCAATGGCAACGGATCAAATGACATCCTCTTCCACGCCGGTAAAAGCAGTCCCTTCCAATCTTTCGTTGACCTGGTCAGAAGAGGGTCCGTGGAATCATGGTAACCATTATGCGCAGGCTCCTAGCAATGTTCCGATCTTACCAGACACGCTGCTGTACTACAATCTCTATGATCAGCTCTGGAAGCAGCGCCAGAAGCAAGAGGACTTTGAGAAACGACTCGACACCAGCGAGAAGGAGAAGGAGGACTTTCGGACCACTTTTCAAGCAGAACTCAACGCCTTAGAAAAGCAGCTCAAAGGTCAGACATCGGCGTTCATGAAGAAGCTCCGCCAGTCAGAGGAGCGATTGGAAGCAAGGCTAGACGCAATGCAGCGCCAACTTGATACACAAAAGACCACACAAAACGCAAATGCCGAAACAGTGCAACACGACATCCGTAATCTTCAAAGGAACCTAGATCTGAGATCAGGCCAACAGACTGCGCCAGCACCAGCGTTGCCTGTGGTTCGCGACCTCAAACGACCTATCACGACAGGTAAGTCGATAAGGAATCTGGTTTCGCAGATGAGCTGACCGCTGTAAGATGAGGCAGTAGCAGTGAAGCGAAGAAAAGAGGATGGACTTTCGCCAGTGGTCGACTTAGATACGCGCGGGCACCCACAGTCTAGCTCCCCGAAGCCGACGCAAACTCGATCGAAAACCAGGCCAAAGCACTCAGCCTCCGGCAACAGTCGCGAGAAGGCGTCCAAGACTCGAATGGAAGAGTTTCGCCAGCACCAGAAGGATGCTCATGACGCATATCTGCAGCTGAAATCCACAAACTTCAACGCAGTGCGAGCATTCGTGTACAAGTTCATCGAGAACATTTCCGACTTCGAAATTTCTCAGAAGTTCCAACTGGAACTGGTCACAGTGCTGCCGGATTATCTAAGAGAGGGAAAGAAAAGCAAATATGGTTGGCGACATGTTGTTGCTGTGGGAGGTACTTTGAAATGGGAGGATGTCTCGCGAGTCGCCAGTTCCATTGATGTTGGCGAGGACTAGAACTGAAGGATGGGGAGACAAGTTTTTCGCTAGGTGCTGGGTGATTAAAGGGCTTTGGGCCTATGGGTATTTGCTTGGCGAGAACGAGGCGCATTGGGAGACCTGATATAAACGATACTCCGTAGCAGAGTTCCCGATTCGATCATTATTCTAGATATGAATAGAGTCTCTTCAGTCATAGAATGGAAAATGGTGATAACGTCTGCTGCTGTCGAAGCGACGAGGAACGTCTGTGCGCCCCCTACCTTGTCAGTGGAGTTTGGCGCGAATGGTGTGTTTGTCACGCTAAAACTTACCACGCGTGTCCTGCAAGGCTGCGGCACTAGGTACCCCAGATACCTCGCCCAGGTACCTTTCCCGCGCTGCAACAGTCCATTGAATCTGGAAGTCCTGGGACGGTGCGCCACACCTCCAAGCCAACAGGAAGGACCGGACCCAGAGAACTTTCCGCGACGACTCCGGGTTTTCCATTCTAAACAGCCTCCACTGTCGACAAATCCCATCGTTAGCAAGTATTTTGTCGCGGCACTCTGCTTCATACGCTACCTAACATTTTCGAATGCGATCCGCCTAGTCACGAGGGAGGCTCCGACCGGCGCCTGCCACCCCTGGCGCGACAGCTTCACCCATCGCCACATCTCGTGAATCCCGCAGCGCATCCGAAATCGATATATCCAAGCCTTTCCCTACTACACCTTCCTCAATATGCCTGACATAAGCGCTCCGCCGCCGCCGCCGCGACCCAAGTTGAAGCTCAAGGCATCATTCAGCGAACCAAACGGGACGCCCGCGACGCCGTCAGTGTCGACTCCTCTCTCGACAACGAAGATCAAGCTCAAACCCTCACAACCGCCAACGCCCGCCAGCACCGACACACCGAAACCTGTGAAGACGAAGGCAGGACGTCAACCGAAGCCAACGAGCAAGCTCATCGAATCGAAGAAGCGCGAACAAGACGAGATCGACGACGATGGCTTAAGCCGGTCGGCGAAGAAGATTAAGCTCCTCAAAACGCCTACCGTGGCGACTCCAGGCAACCGTCACATTGTGGTTAAGGCCAAAGGCAAACCACCAGTTCATCCCCCCGGCGATGGCTACGATTCGGAGGCTAGCGACCAAGAGAAGGACCCCGTCATCGAGGAACAGTTCATCTTGCGTATGATGCCCGGCGAACACTGTGAATATGTCAGGAACTGTATAGAGGAAGGAAAGGTCGGTGTGGCACGAAAAGACGGCGGCGCGGATATTGCGATCAAGTTTATCGACGACGAAAGCCGACGCGCTTTGGTTATCGTCAAAGGCCAGCATTACGCGGCAGTTATGGTGGAGTTGCCAACCATCACAGAGGGCATGAAGTCTTGGGACAGGAAAACCTTCATGAAGTCGGCCGACATCTGCCACATGCTTCTTGTCTTTCAACAAGTCAAGAGTGAGGATGAGGCGAGGAAGGTACCATTACCGCCGATGATCCAACCCGGGTTCAAATGGCCTCACGGTCTGACACCGCCCATGCACGACGCTGCCAATCAGAGATTTGCAAAGGTCATTAGTCGGTCGGAGATCGAACTGAAGGAAAATGAGGTTAAGAAGCTTTTAGCGGCTGACGCGGCTGCTGTATCCTCCAAGTACGAACTCATCGATGAGAACAAACCCACGTACGAGGAGTACTCCGAAGACGAACAAGATGCCGATGGCGAGGCAGACGATAGTGGTTACTTCCCGGCCGAGGGTTACGCTAACGGCGAACTGTTTGACGATGACCTTGAAGCTGAGCTGGAGGCTGCCTTTGAGGAGGAGATGAATCAACCAACAACCGAAGTTGGAACGCCAGCAACACAGTTTGAGGCAGCTACACCGATGACGATGAACACCGGTACGCCAGCGGCCAACGCGCAAGACAGTGGCGATGGAGAGGAATCCGCTGTGAGCGAAGAAGATGAGGACGACGACGACGACGACGATGAAGATGACGACGACAGAGCCCGTCTGGATGAAGTCAAGGCCGTCCGTGAAGATATTACACAACTCAAGAATGAAATCAGCAAGAAGGAGGCTGAGATGGCTACAATAAGCAACAAGATCTTGCGTGGCCGCGTGGAGTCTCGCCTCAAGGACCTTAAGGCAGAGCTTCATCTCAAGATGACCTCTATAGGAGAAGAGGAAGAGGATGAGGACTAGTTGGTGCCATTGAAGCACTGGGAATAGCGTGGGGCATTCTTCAAAAGGGTTGACCACTGTCGTGGGTCACATACACACATTTCTACAGCTATGTATGCCTAGAGCAGAATCATAGGCACATAAGCATAATATTGAAAGCCAAGGTGCTTCGCAACGTCCTTTCCTCTCTAGTTGCGTCATTGAAGTGATGATATAAGAGCCGGCGACGCCGACAGTAGATATTTTACAAGAGCCAAACCACCTTTTTTCATGCTCTGTATGGTACATGACCCAAGCCCGCGACCGCCGCAATCCCGTGAATGCGCACACCTATACCACAGACCATGTTTACATAGACTTGAGGTAGTTAGTCTCCTTAATCTTGGCCTTGCGCTCCTTGCGCATCGCCTTGCGCAGGTCTTCTCTCTTCTCCAGGGCTTGCAGGTTGTGCGTAACGTCCTTGCCCTTTTCTCCGGGCAAGTTGATGGACTGCTGCGGCATGGGGATCTTGGGAGCGAGGGCCTCCGTATCACCGGAGGCGAGGAGCTTGGCTTCGATGGCCTTTTGGCGCTTGGCAGCAAGCTTACGTTGCTTCTTGGATTTGGCTGGTGGGCGCATGGGCATGTTAGCAAAGGAACTAGATCACAAGAGCCGTTTCTTAGGTCTGATCGGCGGGCACACATACAGAACATCTCGGCGGCGAGATCATCCGCAGACTCTGTGGTCTCCTTCTTGGTCTCGAGGCATGTCCACAACCAGTCGGGGTACTCCTCATCAGGCAGGGCAACGGGATCCGTCTTGCCCTTTGTGTAGTTCAGGCCGTTGAGGATGGTGCCGGCGGGGCAGGAGGACACTGGCTTCGCGGGCGTCTTGACGGTGTCGTCTTTGATGTTGGACAGCTTCGGGGGGGCCTCCGGGTTGGCGGGGGGTGCTGGCGCAGCATCGGGAGCGGCAGAGGTGCCAGCGGCGGCGTTTCTTGTCCGCGCTGAGAGGGAGAAAGGTCTGACGAGGAGGGCGCCGGCGCTGGGCTGGAGACGGGGCAGAGCCGTGGCTCGCCGCATACATGTTCTGCAAATCATGCTGGTTCTCTGCTGTGTGCACGCGACGGGACGGGAACGGCGCGCTTGGTGTTGGTCGTCGACGGAGGAGGGGTCCTGGTCGTGGTGTTGCGAAATGCGTGAGCTTGAGCTTGGGGTGCGGTGGAAAAATTCTGGGGCGGGCCGGACGGGCCTGTTGCGCACCCGGCGTCGGAGGCCCACGTCAAGTGAGGTGCACCGAAGCTACAGACGTGCTGCAATACACTCCTCAAGGTTTTTGAGGGCCCATTGAACAATCAATTGAGTGCGTTTTCAAGTTTTGAACCATTTCTCGAGTAGTAGCAACTGATTCAGACATTTTCGCCTGTAAATCGATATCCGTGTCGGATAAGTGCATAACTTCAAAAAGCCTTGATTGATTCGTTTGTACATGTAGCGCGAGGGATATCTCCATCACGCGGCCAATTGCCATGATATTGAAATGGCCCAGATTCTCCGTTTCCCTTCCAGTTGTCAACGGGAACCTCTATCAAAGCGACGCCGTATTCCGCATCGGAACGCTCATAAACCATCACGCCCAGACATAGTTCATTCATGCCTGCTTGGTGATGTAGTTCTGCTGCTGGAACAGTGTGCCCTTGACCTTCTTCTCCTTCAACAGCTCAAGGTACTTTTCTGTATTCATGCGTCAGCAGTTCGACCTCCTGAACGGATTGGCTCTGCCTGTTGCTGTCCAACAAGCCCTCGCGCCGGATGAGACTAACCCCTCAGGTGACCGCACTTCTCCAAGTGGTTGACACCCTCCTTCTTGTAGCACTTGCCCAACTCCTCGCCGACGAGACGCAACATCATGGCGCCGACCCATTGCTCGCGGATGATGGCGTCCTGTGCCTGCTTGAACGCCTTGGTGTCGTCGTAGTCGACGCCGTCGAACGTCGGCGGGACCTTGGGCTTCTGGGCCAGGAACATCTCGGACTCGGGGGTCGGCATCTTGACTGGTGGTGGGATCGAGTCGTCTCGGGTGGAATGGGGTCGAATTGGTCAATGGGGCACCGGAGGTCGAGGGGTGCGTCGCGGCGAGACGTTGAGCTTTGGTGGTGATCGATTTCGGGACCGGGTTGGTTGGCTGGCCTGGGCTGCACCGGGACTGGAGGAGCAAGCTAAAGGTCAGCAGAATGCGGCGGCCTTAATTCGCAGGCTACAGGCCCGAAGCCTCCCCCAGGCACACGACTCGGCTACGGCTTTCGGTACGTACCCACCGCTCATGCAGCCCCTCGCTCACCGCCCGCGCCAGTCGCGGGCGCCCCGCTGAAAAGTTGGCAAATCGCAAAAAAAAATCTCTGTCGCAGGACCCTTCGCCCCAACCACCGGACCCTGGCCTTATAAGTCAAGCTACCACCTCGAGACACCTCTGAAATTTTCCTCGAGCATCCTCCCATCTCTGGAAAAAAGCCTTTCTCTTGCTCTTTTCCATCCTTCTATCCTTACTTCCCTCTCTCTATACCCTTAATCCTTTATACCCACACACATCACAATGGGCAAGACCAAGTCTACCACCAAGGGCAGCAAGGCCGCTGACCCTCTCACCAAGGTGAAGAACGCCGGCGTCTCTAAGGCTTCTGAGAGCCCCAAGGCCAAGTCCAAGGCTATCGCCAAGGACCTCGCCACCAAGGAGAAGAAGAAGGCCAAGAAGGTCGTTGAGCCTGAGTCCGAGTCTGAGTCTTCCGACAGCAGCGAGTCCGAGGAGGAGGAGGAGGAGTCCGACTCCAGCGACTCTTCCGACTCTGAGGAGGAGAAGCCTGCTGCCAAGAAGGCCGCTCCCAAGGCCGCCGCCAAGAAGGCTGCCGAGTCCTCCGACAGCGAGTCTGAGGCTTCCGACTCTGACTCCGACTCCTCCGAGTCTGAGGAGGAGGCTCCCAAGCCCAAGGCCAAGGCCAACGGTGTCGCTAAGACCAACGGCGCCGCCAAGAAGGACGAGTCTTCCGACAGCGACTCCAGCGAGGAGGACTCTGACGACTCCGAGGACGAGAAGACTGAGAAGAAGGCTGAGAAGAAGGCCGAGGTAAGCACCAACTTCGCCTGCTGTGTCAACATCCACTAATAGCTCCCGACAGTCTTCCGACTCCGACTCCGACTCTGACTCTTCCGACTCCGATGAGGAGGAGGACTCCTCCGACTCTAAGGAAGCCTCGGAGACTGAGACCAAGACCGAGGAGCCCTCCAAGAAGCGCAAGGCCCTGGATGACCCCGTCATCCCCGGCAAGAAGGCCCGCACCGACATCTCCGACAAGAGCTCTACCCTCTTCGTTGGCTCCCTTGCCTGGGCTGTCGATGACAACACCCTCTACGAGGCCTTCCAGGAGTTCCCCGACCTGACCGGCGCCCGCGTCGTCACCGACAAGCAGACCGGCCGCAGCCGTGGCTTCGGCTACGTCGACTTCGGCAACCCTGAGGCCGCTGCCGCCGCTCTCGAGGCCTCCCAAGGAAAGGACCTCGCTGGCCGCGCCATGAACATCGACTTCTCTGGCCAGAAGCCCGCCGGCGACGGCAACCACCAGGCTCGTGCCCAGGACCGCGCCCAGAAGCACGGTGACACCGTTAGCCCCGAGTCCGAGACTCTGTTCGTCGGTAACCTGCCTTTCGACACCGACCAGGACACTGTCCACGCTTTCTTCAGCGAGGTTGCCGAGGTTGCCAGCGTTCGCCTGCCTACCGACCCGTAAGTAATACCACATCATGGTGTTCAAAGATCCTCAAGACTAACAACGTCAACAGTGACAGCGGCAACCTGAAGGGTTTCGGCTACGTTTCTTTCAACAGCATTGAGGACGCCAAGTCTGCCTTCTCTCAGCTCAACGGCCAGTACCTCGGTGAGGGCCGCAGCGGCCGTGCCGTCCGTCTGGACTTTGCTGGCCAGAAGCCTAACCGTGACGGCGGTGGTGGCCGTGGTGGTGGCCGCGGTGGCTTCGGAGGCCGTGGTGGCGGTCGTGGTGGTGGCCGTGGCAACTTCGGTGGACGTGGTGGTGGTCGCGGCGGTGGCCGTGGTGGATTCTCCTCCACCAACCGTGGTGGCTTTGGTGACTTCAAGGGCTCCAAGATCACCTTCTAAATGGTGACGCAAGCCGCACGATGATGATGATACTTCAGAGGGCATATATCGCGGGTACACACTGTGGGCTTCGTGGGCTGTCGGTTCGAGACAAGTTTCTTCCCCGCGGGGATTGTGGGCTTTGAGAGCAGTCTCCTTGGAGACATGATGGACCTGAGGGCATTTCACTTTGACCGTGGGCTTGTGGCGTCTCTTGTATATCACAGAGGCATATTGTGGGATCTGTACGCTATTGTGGGTTGACCAAGAGGGCACATGTTGCATAAGCAACATCTTCACAGTGGGCAGATGGCTTATTATCCAAAAGTTGGGAAGAATCTTGTGTGTCTGTATACTCAGACATGTCCGCGAGGGGATCAACTTTGACGATGACGACGGCTTCTGTGGGCTCTGGGGGTTGCTCTCGGCAGTCTACCTATGGGTATTCTGTTGATGTGGCTGGTCAGGCGTTTTCTCTCCTTCGGTTACTCTTGAACTTGGAACGATACCATGCTTTGCGACGCAGAATGGAGTAAGTATACCTTCTCCCCGTGAATGTCATTATTCGGCAGGGCAAAATATTGGCCATGAGGACTTCGGCGTTTAGGGGTCGGCTCCTAGTGTAATACAAAAGTTTTGATGTTTATCCATGAACACGTTCTTGCAGTTCCATTCCGTGCTTCTGGTGATGATGTTGTTGTGAAGACTACACGTATCTGGTGAGGTTGGCGTGGCTGGCAGTAATTAACATTTCATGCAGTTTATGGATGGCTGTCTCACAGCAGGGAAGTGCCCGACTTCGCTCCCATTCGCCAGCAACCTCGTGGCTCAGCTTCCCGCGCAACGGTGCGTCATTGGGCGGCACGAGGTATGGTTCCAGCCACCCCCGTGATGACGAGTAATCTACAACCCTCCCATCAGTCTAGAACAGCGACTGAAGACATTGGTCACTTCGCCATCCGCGCCCTCCAGCAGCAACGTCACGGGTGAACACCTGTTCGCAGTTGGATGGGCTGAGACGCCCCCGGGTGGAAGCGCCGCAAACTTGCTCAGCCGTTGCAGTACGTAAGGAGCGCATGCGTACGTAGTATGCGTTGCTGTGTTTAAAGCAACGAAACGGACGAATATGTTGGGGAACGGAACGGTGGAGCGGCGGGGAGAGGAGAAGGTCACGTCAGTGGAATCTGGCATGACTTAGGGGACGATTATAAGACGACAATCGCGGCGTGTCACGGCTTGTCTTGGGATCGTCCTTGTCGCGGGATGCAAGTCGCAGACCACTCGCTGGCGCCAGGCGACGGTTCTGCAGGTTCACAGCTGGTTTTGTAGCACCGGGTCGCAACTTTAAGGCCCAACGTCGAAGGCCGGTGTCGGTGGTGCTCCGGTGCAACTTGACAACGATGACATGAGGGTGGAATGCTAATGCCGGTCTGGCGCTGATGCTGATGCTGGTGCTGATGGTAACGCAGGCGCAGCTCGCGCTTCCCACTGTTTTCCCACAGTATGGTTTCTCCACTGACGTGCACCTGACCCCGCTACCTCGCGGCACTTGGCGGCCCGGAAGACGTGTGCGGGTGGGATGTTTGGGGGCCGGCAGACGGTACGGGATTCGAGGCACGGTACCGATCATTATGCCTGGCTGCAGCACAACCCAGGTTCTGTGCACTCTGGGGAACAGTATCGCAGCACGCCGTTATAATAGCGTCATGGACCTGCCACTATCCGCACTGTCCTTATCTATGTTGTTCGCAGCTGGAATGCCTCAGAATCACCTCGGGCGCACCGTCTGATGTCGACGTGATGGCCCAAGCACCTGACACGGTGCGATGGCCGGAATCTACAAGCGCCGACCCAAAGCAGCAGGTCACTCTGCACCACACGGGGGCTGCAGGTGTACATCATCTTCCTGGTCCGCTCCGTTATCCATTTCTCCAAGACTCCAGTCTCTCCAAGTCTCCGCCGTATCGCATGCCTGCTGGATGGAGACTGGTCCCCTTCCCCCTCAACCACCACCCCCTACCTACCTAACCTCCTACGTTTACGTGCTGCAACAAAGAGCCAGCCAGCCAGCCAACGGGCAGGGCCTCAACACCATCTCACCGACCCTGCGTGCCTTGGTGAGCTAAGCCATAGTCGAAGCGGTCTGCTGCATCTTTCCTCCTAACTTTCCAACTTCTCCCTTTCCTCCGCTCCTCTGACCTTTGTACACCACGTTTTCTCGAACCATCGTCGACGTCGCGCGAACAGACATCTCGGACCGCGAGCTAAGCATCTCCAGCGTATACTTCTTATCTTGCTCAAAACGCGGGGTTTCGGACGGAGGAAGCGCCTCCCCCCCACACCCGTCCAGCCACATCCCCCGACGTCGAGGACAACTTCATCCCTTACGAACCAAGGCCACGAACTTGTTGCTTTTTCATTTTGTTCTGTTTCAACGGCGTCGAAAAATAAGGCATAGCATCATGGATGGACAGCAGCAGCAGCGCGACGAGCGCGCCGGTCAGAACAATAGAGTCCCAGTAAACGGAGCGCAGTCCGCCGCAGGGCCGCGCAGAAGAAACGACGGTCAGTGGCTTGCATCCCAGGGGCTCGGTGCAGCTGACGATGAAATACTGACACGACTTGCCTCAGAATCGTGGGTTGAAATCGCGTCGCAGCCGTCTTCGTCTTCGCTCTCGTCCATCGGAGACGAGATCGTCACGACCGGTCTCCGAGTCGGCGGGTCTATGGCCGCTCGCCGACGTCGCTTACATCACCCACCCGCCCCTCGGTCTTTCCATGTCGACCAGACAGCTATTCACGCCGGCACAAGCAGTCAGGAAGAATATGAAGAGAGCGAGAGCGAGGAGGACCGATGTCTGACGAGCTCGACCGAGAACGTGCAACCTTCTGTTCGGGCGCCGTTCCAACAGCAGCTATCGGCCCAGGTGGAGTCAGAGGACTCGGATGATGGCGATGAGATCGCGACTGCCCTAGGAGCACGCGTCCCCGACGACCCCGTCTTCAGGCCTCACCCAAATGCGTTCTCTCATCCGCCGTCGGGCTTGCACAGGAGTCAGTCTGCCGGCTCGGCCATCCATCAGCACCCGCATAGTAGCGTAAGACCGTCGCTCTCCCATCGGTCCCAGACGAGAGTGCACCGCAGCCCGCCAAACTTCATGTCGCCGGCGTACCAAGCCGACAACGATGCCGCTCTCCGTGCTTCCCTCACCACCCTCCTCTCGTGTGCTGCTGCCGCTCGGGGTCTGCCCAAGTACAAGGACAGTGAGCAGCAGGGCGCACCGGCCGCTACCGGAGTCGGACCTAGTTCTCAGCCTGTAGAACTGAGGCTCATGCCTGAATCTGAACTCATGACTGATAGACAACCACAACCTCTAGCCCCATCACCAGCCAAGACACCTGCTCGGTCACGGACCGCCACATCTTCTACGCCTTCATCACCCAAGAGCGAAGGCGTTGACAAGCACAAGAGGACTTCCTCTTCACAGACTCGCTCGTCGAGGGCGACGAAGAAGAAGAAGGTGGCCGCCGGCGAGGACGCGCTCATCAGCCCGACTTTGCTGACCTGGGTTGTGAGCGCTGGCGTCGTGGTGCTTGTTTCCGTGGTCGGGTTTGGCGCGGGCTATGTGATCGGCCGCGAGGTTGGACGTCAAGAAGTGCTCTCGGCGGCGGGAGCGGGCGTCAACGCTTCGACCGTAGCAGACTCTTCGTCGTGCGGTAGGGAAGTTATTCGTTCTTCCGGCGGTGGCCTTCGTCGCCTCAGGTGGGGTGCGGGGGTTGGCCGAAGCGTTGTTGCTTGATTCAGATTCGAAGATCTCGTCTGAATCATGAGGCGTCGGATACTATTTACGTCCCTATCTCTACCCTTAGTCCGGGGGAATCCGGGGTACGGGGGTGGATTTGATGGGTGTGATGGGTTCCGACATTTTTTCTTGTTCACTTTTCTTTTTGCCGGTCTCCATCTCTCTTTCGTCACCAACGGGTTTGAATGCGGGCTACGACGAATATAGACGATCATCAACCATGGATACCTCTTGCTTCCTATTTTGGGGAAATCGCGGAACATGCCTGACAAACGAAAACGGGGATAGGCGTGGGCGTGTGTTTATGTGTGTTGTGTTCTGCCTGGGTGCGGACATACTCACAACAAGTCATTATTATTTTTCAGCTTCATCTGAAATGATCAACGATCGGGGGTTTGGAAAGCCAAGGGGGCTGGGCAGCATTGGCGTGAAAGCTTTTTTACCCCCCCGTTCTTTCCTTTGCAATTGCTTGTTTTTTCCGTCTCTCTCTCTCTCTCTGGTCATCATGGGTCTGGTTTTGAAATTCCGCTGCGATCGCACCCGGGGGATTATCTGCGAAAGGGGGTTGAGGCTTGGCTTCTGGGTTGTCTGTACACCCTTTACCTTGCCCTCAATCTCTTGGCAAAGATGGGCTCTGCGACGCCGGCATACGTGAAACCAACTTCATCTTGCGGGTTAGCTTTAACACAGTTAGTCTAATACAATCGAAGGGCATGGTACGCGGCAGACAACTTCGCTACAAGCACACACATGTGAAAGTGAAAAGAGGGGCATGGGTGAGTGGGTAAAAGAGTTTCGCCCGAACAATCTGATTAGATTTGTTGGCTGTGTTTACGTGATTCTTGCTTGCGTACGTCTGTCTTGCCTCCGCTGCAAGTCAGCAAGCCAAAAATGTAAGAGAGTTTAGTCCATCCTCTGACACACGCAGCCGTGGCTGCAAGGCCAGAGTCACCCGAAACCAGCAACAGGCAAAACCCACATGCGGTGTCGTGTGTCGTTCGCGCAGTCCGGACAGCCCGCAAATTCTGCTTGGCTGGCTGGCTGGCTGGCTGGCCTTGGGCTGCGGGAGGGTAAGGACGGGCAAAAAGTTTCGTTGACAACTCCGTTGACACACGTTCGAAGTTGCTACTCGAAACGAGTTGCCCTTTTGCGAAACTGGCCCGGACGGTTGTGCGGACTCTGCGCGGCCCAGCAGCAGCCTCTGCAGAGCACGTGAAGGGCAGGCGGGTAGCAGACAGGGCTGTCAAGTTTTGTCGCAGAACCTTTTCGAGACGAGGCGAGGCTTAGACGTCGTCTATCGTAGGAGATGGATCCTTGAGGGGTTCTGGAAGGGCAGATTTTGAAGAGAAAACTTGGACCAACAAGGGCAGTCAGTGAAGAAGCAATTGCTCGCCAAGACCAACAGGAACCTCGTCTCATTGTCGGCGTGATACTGAGAAACTTCGTCTCAATTTCGGCGCAAATCTCGTAAAAGCCAGAAATCCGGGCTGCGCGAGGCTGGAGACACATCACACGTACGCATTCTTTGCTAGTCAATCTCAGGTATTTTTGGATCCTAAAGTCTTTTGGAATGTCTAGATGGACTCCGCCGATCTCAAGTGAACAGATGCCAGGAACCTGTTCGAACCACGGTGATACCATACCCTCCGCATCGCTCTGCCTGTAAGCCGTCCTTGATTCCTCCACGCCCCCCGCGACCAATCCCGATGTCGTAGAGTTTCCCCCATAGGATCCATCTGGGAACCATGGAACCATGTCACAAGTGAACCATCGTCTTGACCTTGAGAAAGTCACCGACGCCAAGAACCAAGCGATCTAGATATCGTCTCGGCGATCGTTTCGTTACAACGACGCCCTGCGGACTTTCGGAACATTGAAAGGCTACTCCGCTACGTTTTGATGCAAGGTACTCGCTCCGTGAAGCTACTATTCACAAGATGATCGCTTGCCTAAAATACAGTCATCCTCCTTAACGCCAAGAGGTAATAGTGTTGGAAGAGCGTGGGATGGTCCATGAACGCGTTCCCCCAAGCTCATCGCATGTTCCTTCGGTAGAATACAGCGTGCGTAGAGACTCCACCGCAGGCGTTGAACCCTCGTAGTCACCGTGAGGTTTTGCAGGCTGAACACAACTGATCCCCAGTATCATGAACCTCCTTACAATGCGCTTAGGTCGAGGGGAACACTGCTACCTCTGCCAGCCCTGTAGCGTCTGGGGCCACCGAGAAATTCCCTAGGCTTTGGAAGCATGGCCTCGTCCTGGAACCTCCAACGCGAGTCTTGGACAATGTAACGTCCGCCGCCACCACCACCGCCAGCCGTACCCAGGCTCGTGGTTGTGTTGGTACGTGAAGGAGGCGGGCTCTTTGCTCCATTAGGGGCAAGAGTAAAGGCGCTAGGGTCGAGCATAGATGAGCGAAGTCCAGACCCGGACCGGGCCCGCGAAGGGGCGGCCGGCGGGGGAGGTGCGGCCGCGGGAGGCGAAGGCGCCGTGGATGGAGGTGGCGGGGGTGCGGCACTGGGTGATGCCTGTCCAGCTGCTCGTAGGGCAGCTTGCATTGCCAGAGGCGAAGGCCCGTTTGATGCGGGTGGAGGAGGTGGAGGTGCTGGAGATCGAGAAGGGGGTGAAGGCGCTGGGGCTCTGGGTGCAGCAGCGGCGGGGGGTGGTGGCGGCGCCGAGGGAGGTGCCGATGGGGGAGGTGCTGGAGCAGCTGATGGAGGAGGCGGGGGAGGGGCGCCAGGAGCTGGAGCACCAGGCAGAGGAGGTGGATTGTTCGATGGAGCTGTAGAGGGCTTTCGAGATGCAGGCAGTGGTGGTGGCTTCTTGCCAATAGGAGGCGGGGGCCCCTTCATGGATGCCGAGGAGCTCGGCCTGGGAACATCGCTGGGTGTCTTTCGCAGATGGGCGATCGACGGTGGTAGTGCTGGAGCACCACCTGGAGGCGGGAGAGGAGGTCTTCCAGGAATAGCTGGCGCCGCACCAGCAGGTGGCTTGGGCGCACCGAAGGCAGGCACCTTTGGCGCGGAAGACGATCGTACGTTGTTCTCAGGATCCGACAGGTAGGATGAATCGGCAGCCGCGCCGGTGTCGACAGCACCGCGGGTCTTGCGCAGCTTCGGCATGCCCCCAGCAAACAGTCCAGCTAGTTGCGGTGCGGGTTCCGCAGCTGCCGGTGCCGGAGCACTACCACTCTGATCGCTGTTGCTTCTAGCTCTGTTCCCAGGTACCGGAGGCGCGAGACCTCCTGGAGGTTTGGGTGCACCGCCAAATCCAGGAACTGGGGGCGCACCTCCTATGGGCGGTCCTCCTCCTCCTCCGCCGCCTGACACCTTTCCTACAACTGGAGCAGATCTATCGTTCGTGACGGTTTTCTTGAGAGCTTTGCCTTTGGAAATATCGGAGAGAAGGGCACCCTGATGACCACATTAGCAGGCTGTTGTCTGAGCAAAGGGATATCGTCTTGATTGAGGCCATACTCTGTTCGCTCCTCCTCCTGCCGGCCTCGATGGCAGACTGCCTAGTCCTGGAGGTCCCCCGGGCGGAGGCGGAGGCGGAGGACCGCCCATTCCAGGCATCGGAGGCGGCGGGGGAGGTGGAGGAGGCATGTTGAGATCGGTTCGGTCGACTCGGCCGTGTGTGTTTCTTAATTTCGATGGAACGATGAGTGATTTCAAAGGATGAGGGTGGTAGATGGATGTCGCCGATGGCTGGCGGTGGTTGCGTTGTCGATGTCAATAAATGTCGTTGTCGTTTCGTTGTAGTGGACCGGGTTGAACGGAGGCTGGAGCACAGCGGTCGTGTCGACAACAACGGCGATGGAAGAGATGTCGTCGAGATACAGTGCTGTCAGATGACAGGGTATCGTTTCAATAAACGACAAGTGAGGCTCTCGTGGGTCGATCAGTGCATTCCCAGGGGCGACTAGATGATGTTACTCTGGGGTAGCTTTTCAGCCGCGTGGTGTTTCGTCATCCTCGGGCCGTTCTTGGACGTACGCTCGAGATGCGGCGCTGTTGGGCGCTGGCAGTGCTACCGTTACAGCATGAGTGGGCTGAGCACCGCTGCCTGGTTCGAGCTACTTCCATTTTTGCGGGTGGACACCGCCAAAGCAAAAGTATCGCACAAGCCCCATCAGCCCGGGGAGTACTTTCAAGTAGCTGTGGCTAGAGAGTACGAATACTTGACGCAATTGCCCAACGCGGCTTGCAGTAGCATACGCCGCACATGAGAAGAAGAAAAAGAAAAGATGCACCAAGAAAATGAGGCGGAATAGAGCCAAGAAGCTTGAGATACACTATGTTCATCTAATCAAACCTAATGCAGTGCTACAGAAAGATCTACAGTCCCAAAGTCTTGGAAAAGAACGGTGTTGAGAAATATGCAGGATGAACTGAATGTTGGCGAGGCGTGCGGTGCAAGCTCATGGTTGGCGCAGCGGCTGTGGCTGTACCCGAACCACGTTTCTTCGATGACCTGTAGGTACTCAGCCTGCTGTGCGCTAACTGCTGCAGCGCTGACGGACCCCGCTTGGAGGGGCAAGTGCCGGCCTCATTGGTGCGGCGAGCGCTGCCGAAGAGCCTCTCCGAACCTGGAGTGATCGCCTGTGAGATAGGGCCAGGGGGGGTCGATTAGAGCTCCTGCTATTGGGTGGATTGGGCCTACGGGTGGAAATTTTGCAGGAGCTCCCAGCTTGCCCCGGAACGTCCGTCTCCTCGAAAGCTTCACTCTCCTTCGCATTGCACCTGTTACACCAGCCAGGTTACTCGTCGGTCTCCGCGTCGGCCTCCCACTCCTTTGTCCAAGACCCCAAGACGGCCTCTCCCGGGATCTCGCCCAGAGGACGGCTGTTGCCTCACCCGCCCGACGGCCCCTTTGCTTGATTCTCTTGGCTTCGTTTCCACGATTCACAACCCACGACCAACCGCTGTGCCACTTCGAAATACAGCAGCCCTCAGAGACCAGTCGACGACGCGTCCTTTCCCGCTCGCTCGCGCGCTCGACTTCATAGCGTTCGATTGGGTCCGTCGCAGGTCCCTTCTACTACGCCAACGCCCGAATCCTCAGCCTTCTTCGTCACGAAGATGATGCGGACCGCCATCATCCGGCCAGCGGCCGCTCAACCACGATCCCTCTGTCGGTTATGCGTGACCCTATCACGCGCTGGGCAACAGACTCGATTCCTTCATACCGCCAAGCCAAACGTATCTGCGATCGTCTCCTCGCGATCTGCCAAGCTTCACGAGAATACCATATTGAGACGATTTGCTGGGGAAAGCCGCTTCACGAGCACGGTATCTACATCGGGTTTGAGGAGCGATGGTCACGAGAGGCCTGTCGGCACAAGGGCTGTGTCCAAGGAGCTCCCTGACCTGAACAAGCTGGCTGCGATTGTTCAGCAGAGCAAGCAGCGCTTCATGTCGACGGACGGAATTCCCACTCCACAGCTCGTCATCGCAGCCTTGAAAACGTGCCAAGGCGCCGCAAATGCGATTCAACCATATCTATCCAAGTCGGAGATTCGTCCGGCCTCTGCCCTCACGGCGTCGACCGCGTCAAACCTGCTATCCCTGGACTCGAACTCGACTGCAGCTAATTCTGGTAGCACGTCGATCCCGTCAGTCTCCGTCAAGGATACAGTCGACACAATCTCCGAGTCAGCATACCAAATTATCGCACACCCCATCGTTTCCATTGGTCCCCAGGTCTTGGAGCTGTACGTAAACATCCAAGCTAGGCTTGGCAGGCCCGAGACACTACCCCAAGTTTTCGAATTGTATGCATCAAAGCCCAAACCCAAGGCAGTCGAGGGTTCAATCACCTACGTACAGCAGAACCCAAAGCGAGCAGACAAGGCCATCGAGGCAGCTGTCGCCGAAACAGCTCTGGGGGCCGCCATCGACGCCAAGAATCTGGACGCTGCAGTTGGCATCGTTGAGGCCTGCTATGCGACACAAGCATTCTACCGGCAGAAGCTTTTGCGGAAAGCGCTTCTGCCCGCCTCGGCCGTGGTTGCGGCCCCAATTGGGGTCTACGCTCTAGCCTCCAATCTCTCGGCATTCCAGAACACAATGGAGCCCGTGACAGCCACCAAATTCGCCTTTGTCGCTATCCTGGCTTATCTGGGCTTCACTGGCACAATCGGTGTGGTTGCGAGGACCACTGTCAACGATCACATGCGACGTGTTACTTGGGCTCCAGGTATCCCGCTGCACCAGCGCTGGATTCGCGAGGAGGAGCGCGCTGCAATGGATGACATTGCATGCGCGTGGGGTTACAAGGAGAAATGGAGGCACGGTGAAGAGGGTGGCATCGAGTGGGACTCTCTAAGAGAGTATCTTGGTCTGAAGGGTATGATGCTCGACAGAGTTGAGCTGATGGAGGGAATGAGTTGAGTTGAGAATGTGTTGAGGGTTCGTTCATGAGACGTGCGGGGTGGCTTTTCGCACCGACGGCGGCCTCGGGCGCCATTGGACGGAGTCAGTTAGTGGACCAGGGAAGCTCGACTTGTCGTCGAGCTCAGAGAACCATGGGCGGTTTTCTGAGCGTCGAGTCTGAACGTCGTTGCTAAGCCCCCCTAGTCCGGAGAATAATGCGACCTCCGACCAATCCAAATCTACAATCGGCCGTCACCAGGGCCCGCCTACAGATCGGCAATCTACGTCTTATCCCGCGCATCTTGCCAAGAGACTGCCCAGACATCGCCCAGACAGCATCGCCATCCACATGCGGATCACCGCAAGCCCAGGTCGACAACGCTGTCACTGTCATCTTGTTTCAAGCGCTATTCCTAGCCTTCCTCCGCACTCGACTCAGCATCAGTGCATCATTGGTGACAAGATGAGTTTGACGATGGATCCACCGGTTGGTGCAGCTGGTCGTCGACTGAAAAATGGAGGCGGGTCTAAAGATGACGGCGCAAAGTTGAGTTGCAGTAGCGTCTGGCAGCTCGTGAGCGTTGTTCTTGTGCCCATGTCAACTCTGAGCCAATCTTGCAATCGCAATCTACTTGACAAGCCTCTCTGGAGCTTTGTCTTTCTATCCCCACCCGTCCGTCCCCAAGCCTCTGTAGGAGCATACACCGGGGTGGCCCTTCGGTAGTTGTAGGACCACGACGACCCCTGCCCGCCATCAGATTGTGAAAGCACCCCCCTGCCGCACACACGCAAGCCTGGGCAAGTCCGCCCCATGCTAGAATAACCCTGCGGATCGGTGACTTTACAAAACGAGTCCTTCCTACTTGGTATAAAGAAGCAGAGCCTCTTGCATCACCATCTGTCAAAGTGTCAGTACCATCAGCCTTCTGTCATCCGGAACCACCAGACGACATCGAAAGACATTCATATACAACTTCAACACCAGTGTCAACAGCAACACACATTAGAATTGAACTACGCTCAACCTGAACAACAACGACACAACTTGCCGCCAGACCGTTGCCCAAGATGGTTGCCAACGAAGAAGACTTCACGCCTTATGACCCTATTCGATGCGCACACTACGCCCGTTTTGCTTCACATCTTGACAGATGGCAATTCGATCTCCTTTACTGGCTCCTCTTCGTCTTCAACTTGTTTATTCTGTTTCTTGCAGCATGGGGATACACTCGGTAAGTTCTCGGCAACGCCGTTGTAACCACGGTCTTTTCTCAAACAGTCTCACTGACCAACTGTTCAGGACATTAGATGCCGTTGCGGACCTGCCACCGACAGACTCAAAACGAAAACAGGCAATTAGACGGTGTATCTGGTTCAGTTTGGGATGCGTGTGTGTCTCTTTGGTAACGGTCATCATGGAGGTTTTCACTTTGATGGCCTTGCAGTTTTGCGACGGGGAAGATCTCATGTCACTTTACTGGTCGACTTTCACCATGATCCAGGTCGGATCTCTCATCGCCGTGTGCGGAGTCATTCTGGCTTTGGTGCACTCTTTGAGACAACGCAGAAACCCGTATGTCATCTCTCTGGCTACCCGCTACACCATTCATTCACTAACGACCTACAGACCTTGGGCTCTGGCTCTCGGCACACCGGTTCTCGTCATCGCAGGCCTGTTCCACTACCTTCACGGCTGCATCACTAGGAGGGTTAAGAGGGCCGCCAATGCTAGGAAGAGGAAGATGAGCGACGCCAACACGTTGCCAATGAGCCAAGTGTAAGTGCAATCTCAAAAATTTTCACCTGGCAGGCATCGTGGCTGCCCGATGATACCTGCCAAGGTAAAAAAACGATCCGTGCTAACAGGCCTTCCAGAAACACCATTCAAGCTGAAGCCTCTGATGAGGACGAGGGTATTCAGGGAGCCGAGATTATCGGGCTCACAATGGACGGCGGCCCAATCATCCACTTCAAGGACGCCGTGCCATACAGCATGCCCGACTCGAGCGAGATCATTGGGCGCTGCTCCAACGACAAGCCTATTGTTGTCTGCCGGCGCGATGGCTTCCAGCTAATCTACAACGGCACGGACTCGAGAGCGCCATCCCCTAATCCGGCTACCAAGCCTGGTGCCAGTGGTTGAGGCGGCGACGACGGGTCCGTTACATCCCGCGGCGGCAGGCCCCACCCTTGCATCGGTGCGGCGAAGTCAAAGGCAAAATAGGTCACAGTCTAGATCCCGCCAGATCGACCAGCATATGGCGACCCCCACGTCATAACACCAGGCACGAACGAGCAGAGTCCCTGCAATCGGGACCGCCAGAACGCCTCTACTACGGCACGCTGCACTTTCAGCTACGCATACACTGGAGAACTATGACTCTACAGACTACGAGACGCCCGTTTCCGCCCGGAGCGGCATAGCCCTCATTCCCCACCCGCTGTCTGCAGCCACCTCTACCTGTCCCTTTTGGGTTTATGGGATTCTCCCTTTCTCGGCCCCTTGGCAGGAACATCCCTGTCGTTTTACTTTTCTGAGCGGGCGGCCCTACGAATACAGAACCACCAGCAACGGAGAAGCGCCAGCCTCTACCACCGGCTACTAAGGCGGCTGGGCAGCGAACCCAGCTACCACCGTACGGGCCGCCCAGCCTCTTAGTCCGGACACGTCCTCCCGCACTAGCTGGCAAAGCCACTACCACCTGACTACCGGGCGGGCGCCGGAATGACGGTCTCCAGAAGACGGACTCTTGGTGGCAACAGCAAGCGGAGCACCAGGCCGATCATTGACGGCTGCGAAGGGGACCTCGTCTCCTTGCGGATTCCGGCCGAGGCGGGATGACGATGTCCGTCTTTCCCATCACCCCGACCGGTTCCACCTTTCTTCACTTTTTCCCTTTTACACGCTTGTCCTCTTTTTTGGCTTTTCTTGGCGGATACTCTCTTCTGTATGTCTTTTTTCGCCGCCTTTCTTGGCACCCCTTTTCTCCTCTCATTCTTGTGTATGTTTTGTTATGCTCCTGAATCCACATTGCGGGCTTGGCGTTTTGGGAGATGCACTGGCGGGCTATGGACGGGAGTCAGAGTGTGAGTGGAGAGGGAAAAAGACTGGAAAGAAAGGGAAAAGACGGGAGGGAATGGCCCTTCGGAGACGGTTAGAGTAGGGGTGTGCACGCATGTGTCGAAGTGTGCTGTGCGCACCATTATCCGTGCTCTTGTAATGATCCCTGTGGCACGGGCGAGTGGGTTGAAATTGAATAAAAAAAAGTTTACTTTCCATACGGGTTCCTGTCTAAGTGCATCAGGCCGCTACACGAGCCAAGACTTTTTGGCGCGTCAGTTGGTTATCACAAAAGTCGAACCCTGACTCTGATCAGCTTTCCTTTTTGTTTTTCGTTACATTCGACGGGGAGGTTTTCCGTCAGCCAGCCTCCAGGGGTGTTGTCACTAGCGTCGGCATTAGTTCTTCTTGGGCCCTACGAGAATTGAAAACGGGACACGGGTTGGGCAGAGAACAACGGACTCCGGGTGGCTCCTGTTGTAACATTCTCACATGCCGTCACTTCTCACCGGAGTTCTCTTTCTGGACATGGGTCATTGACAAAATGAGACTAGGCTTGGACGATGAGAAGACGGAAATCAGATAAGCCGCGAGTTCACATTTCTCGGCACTCATTTGCAACGGAAAGGAATGTTGAAGCGCAGTGGTAGCGTGCGTTGTGCGTTGTCATGTGGCTAAGAGGAAACCGTCACCGCGCAAAAGCCAATGGTTCGAATGCCAAGTCTTTTGGGTCGTGATCATCGTCATCTCAACAACCGTGATGATGCTGAGAGTAGTGTGAGAGACAGAAGGAGTAAAGAGAGGCTGGAGAGGACGAGCGCGCGCACGGAAGGAGGGCTTGCTTGTGTGGTCCTTTCAGGGTCCGTGGCTTTTGCTCCTGTTCTTGGCATCACTTATCACCGCTCAGGGCCACAGGGCCTGGATTGCGTACATCATCACAAAGTCTGCAGTGTTCGAGCTGGCCGCAATCAGTCTTGTTGGTTCAGTGAAGTTTTCTAAAACATGTTTCTCCCGCTAGCCCCGAAAAGATCGAGTCGATGGACGAGGCCGCGCAACGTGCTGCGGGCACATGTTCTTGGCCAAGAGTGAAATGAAACACGCAGAGATAGGACAAACGCAGATCACATACACAGCCCACCATTGTAGCGGTAGAATGTTTTTTCAGTTATCTCGGATTTTCTTCCTTGTTTTACAGTTTCTTGGATTACCGCAGACACCGCGTCCTTCCCGTGGGCGGGACACCATGTCTCACATGCCTATCTAGAGGTATCTTGCGTGCTTTTCCTTTTTCTTTATGCCAAATGATGACGGGATAATGTATGCTGAACACCCCTTTATCTCTCCCGCCTCTTATCCTTCTCGCTGACGGTGTTTTCTCACCCCCCCTTTTTTTTCCCCTGATACATCCGTATGAATGCTATTCCGGGTCTGATATGGCAGGAAACGGTCAAGTCTGTAGCAGGTCATGTGCTATAACGGCTATTGCAAGCGCCCCGCCTTGCCGATTTGTAATATCTCACCAGTGAGACGGTCGTCACTGCGCAGGACCGGCCACGACTCGCCGCCGGCCTTGGCGAGAGTCACCTCGAGCTTAGTGCCGAGGACCTTGAAGGTGGACTTTTCCGCATCAATGGGCGCGAACAGAGGCACCTCAGCGGTGTAGCGCTTAGGCGGTGAGTCGGAAGTAGGCAAGTCGAGCGCGATGGACTGCGACTTGAACTCAATCTTGGCAGAGTCCTTGACGATCTTCTTGAGGAAGAAGGAGGCGATAACAGTAGAGGGAGTCTGGTAAAAATCGTTGCGAACAGTGTCAAGCTTCTCCTCGCCTCCATCGGCGGCGGCTCCCTTCTTCTTACCGCTGCCGATGAACAAGTGACGGTTCTTGGTCTTGCAACCCTCAATCTTCATGAACTGGTCAAACTCAAGCACGCGGCGCTTGCAGCAGCTGTAGCCCTTGGAACCCTCGTGGAAGATGGGGACGCCAGGGTGGTGGACACAGGACTCTGCATCACGGGAGGAGCCCTTGCGGTAGGTGGCCGAGCAGGCCTTGCGGCGGCAGGTCGCGCCATCGGCAATCTCGAGGGAGGCGTCATCGGACTCGGACTCCGGGGGTGGAGGAGGAGGAGAGGGAGCGGCCTGGGCCTGGGTCTGGGAGAGGGGCTTGCGCGCCGGGGCCGGTGCCGATGCGAGCTTGTCGAGGAGGGCGGCCGCAGCGGCGTCTTCCTTCTTCTTCTCGATCTGGGGTGGCAGGTCGGTTGTAGAGTGCTTGCCGGTTGTGCAGGGGGGGATGGTCATAAACTCCTCAAAGGTAAGGACGCGGGGCTTGCAGCATTTCCAACCTGACAGTGATTTGCAATTAGCTTGTGTGTTACAATCGACGACATTATTGGGAGGAGGGAGGCTAAGCAAGGGATGCGAAAGGTTCGGAAAGCTTCAATTGGGCGGGAGGATGGGGGGAAGAGGGTGATCCCTATCCCAGTTCACGGGACAAGAACGGGAGCGATGGGAGTCTCCATTGAAATGACGAAGTGTAAAATAAAGGTAAGATGAAATCGGCAGTGCGGTGTTGCATGGTAAGCGGAAAGTGAGTACCTTTCTGGCCTTCGTGGAAGATGGGAGGGCCGGGGTGGTAGACGCATGGCTCCTCTGCATCGGTGTAGACCTTGCCGCAGCCTTGGTGGACGCACTTCTCCGCCATGGTGTGGGATGGCTCGCTGTCGTTTTCGCGTGTTTGTTTAGGATTTGATGATGTTGCGATCGGGAGTCCGTAAGTAAGCCTGAAGGAGGGAGCTGGATCGCGAAAGGAGAACAAGAAAGAAAAGTAAATCCAGAAGCGACAAATGGTGACGTTTGAGGGAAGGAAGGGCACGCTGGCGGCGGGCGGGTCCTGCTTGTTTGTAAATTGCTCGAAAGGAGCCCCCGTAAAGTGGAAGGTGAGGGGCAGTCGTGGCCGACGTCGATGTCGTCGCTTCGGTGGAGGGGTTGCTATGTTCTCCAGGATTCCAGAATTTCCCAGGGGTCCCGGCCGCCATTTACTTGCGCCGTAGCGGCTCAAAATTATGCATGTTAGGCACAAGCTCCGTCATATGCCCCCTCTGATTCGTCCGCCGCGCTCGCTGCGTCTGTCTCAATTGGTTCACCGCCTTCCTCGATAAGATACCCTGCTGTGAGCTGACATTGGAAGAATCGACCGAAGGCCTACCAGCCAGGACCTTGCACAATATCGGCGCGAAGGCCGGGGTAGGAGTTCAGTTGGAAACATGCCTCCGTACGACCAGACCAACCACAACCCGCCCACACTTTTGCCTTTTGCTGTCTCTTTCCTCACAGACATTGCCAATTGCAACGCTCTCTTCACTCTTCACCCTGGGCTGTCTACAACAACTCTGCCGCCCACACCCAATCATTCATCGGACATTTTGAAACCATCACAACGGGCGCTCTTCTCACACCCACCATACTGCCTGCCAGCACCGTCATCTCACCTCTGAGAGTCTCCCACGCTGTTCAGACCCTTGTCCTTGGCCCCCTAACCTTCAGCTCGACAGCTCACATTCCCATTCTTCCATTCTCAGCTGACAGCGAAAACGAGGCTGTTTCACAGCCCTTCGAGCCTCTTTCCCGTCCCGCCATCCTGGCATCTCACAGCAGTACGTACTCGGAACGGATACATCTGCACCAAGGGCGTGGTTTCCGGCGAACACGTCACTTATAGAGGCAATCGCGAATCTTTCGGTTCTTTGAATTTCTTAGCTTGATTGATCGTCAAACATGTTTACTCCAACACGGCGGCTCTTTCAACAAGCCCTCGCATGCCGGATCACACTCTTCACTCGCGATGGGTGCGGCTTGTGTGTAAGGGGGAAATCGGCCCTCTCCGCCGTGTGGGATAAGAGGCCGTTTGACTTCACAGAGGTTGAAATTACGAAGCCAGAATTTAAACGGTGGAAAGACCTATACGATTTCGATGTGCCTGTGGTAAGTTTACCTGAGCGACAACGAGGGAGGCAGACGTCCGATGTTGGCAGCTCGAGTGCACTTTACACCAAACTCACGTTCACTTCTTCCCCAGATCCACATCAGCAAAGCCGAGGCCCCTGAGGAGGACCCAGACCCCAGAGTCGTGGGCAAGGCCGTCAAGCTCATGCATCGCTTCGATCCCGACCAGATCGAAGCCAAGATGGACCGGGTTGAGGGCAAATAAGCGGATACTTTGAACGCGGCCGCAAATGTCTTGGCCCGGAGCCGAAGCAAGAACATAGCCTACATAACCGCTTAATTCTTCATTTCAACCGCCCAGGTCAGTCGTTCAGTATGATCCACCCTTGGCTGGCTTCGCCGCCCCGCGGGCTATGCTCAAAGATTCCGCCAAGGTGTACTGCAATGCCGTGTAGTCCGTCGCTACGCTAATCATATCGAATCCCTTGTCTCCAAAGAACTTCGACTGCTCTCCTGAGGTGCAGAAGATGCCAGCCTTCTTGCCCGCCTTGTGGGTAGCCTCGAGGATGCGGTCAATGGCATCACTCAACTCCTTCTTGATGACGCCGTTGATCACTGGGTGGCCAATGTTGTTTCCTGCAACTCGGTTAGACTCATCTCGTGACTGGTACCCGTGACGTTCTGACTGACCAAGATCAAAGGGCCCAATGAACAGTACATCGATACCCTCAACCGCAGCAATGTCCTCGACCGAGTTCAAAGCCTCTTGAGTCTCAATCTGTACCATCGTCAACAGACTGTCGTTGGCCTGCTGCAAGTACTCGGTCATGGTCGGCGCCGGGTTGAACCTCTCCATGGCGAGGGGCGAACCGAAACCCCGTCGTCCCCAAGGGGGAAACTTGGCGGACTGTACGAGGTCCTTCGCCTCTTGAGGCGTGCGAAGCAGCGGGACGAGGATCTGTCTTTCGTGTTAGTGATGCCCCCGTGTTCTTTTGCGTGTTCGTGATTTTACCCCGTGAGCACCACAATCCAAGGCGCCTGCGTCACGTCATCAGCAGTATGTTCTTCAAGCCTCATCGCCACACATGGGAGCCCTCACGCTTGACCATCCAACCCTGCATGTCCGGCAACCTCACAATTGGCGAAACGCCCGCGGCGGCGATGGCGGGGACGGCATCGTGCATAGCCCCGTCTGGATGAAGTCACGCCGTCAGCTCGGTGTCCTTGGCAAAACCCGGAAGGGTCCCACGTTACCGTCAATGTTTCCGTGTTCGCAGTCGACCAAGACCCAGTCGATGCCCGGGCTCTTTGCGAGAACCCGGGAAACGTTGGCGCCGGGAATCATCTGCCACAGCCCCAAGCTGGGGCCGGCTCCCTTGGTGAAGGCCGTCCTGAGCCTATTGGCTGCCTGCATTGCGGACATGATTGCTCAAACTAACAGAGTGTAAAAAGGGTATGATGTATTAGAGATTGAGGGTGAATCCTCGACCGCAAAGGTGTTTATTATGTACGTCTCAATGTCACGATGTTCTCTCCCGGAATCGGCTCACTGAACAACACAAGCTGCTGTCTTCCGCGCCTTATGTCAGAAGTCTCAGTGCGGGGGTCATCACCTGCGCGGGGTGAAGGCCGCCGCGGGAAGCTGGAGCCCCTGCCAAAAGGACCAAAAAAAGGGCACTACGTACTGGAATCACTTAGCAAACCCCCGACAGCCGGATAGCCTCTCCCGCGGCGAACCGGAAAGTGGCTACGAAACCTAGGCCCGTACGCAGCACAAAACCCATGAGACAGAGCTTCGGGCGGAATGGGGTAGAGTTCAGCGTGATTGGGGTTTATTGCGGGCAGACGTGGGGAAAGCTGCGTGGGAGCGGGGTACGGGCGCTCTGGCGTCTACTGGAGTAAAATGTTGGTTTATGTCGTCGATGGCTGTTCCGTCTTTGAATTATCATAATAGTTGCTTCGACCTAATAATCGATCTGGCGTATTTCTCACTAAGCTTCATCAGGGATCGTAGGTGTCACACGGTATAGGCTATCCGAGGATTGGGAAAGTCCAGTATATACTTGGGTTTTCCGCCATGCAGTTGCTAACAGACTCGTTTAACACTTGTAATATAACAAGAAGAATCGTAGATCAGGCTAATAAAGGTTTGAGTTGAAAGACACTCCTAGTGAAGACCTATAGCAGTACCTACTCATGTTCAAGGAGCAAGACAATGGTGCCGCTCCAAGCAAATGTCAAGTGGAAGTACTACTATTGGAGACAAGAGTAACAATAAGGTCCACATTCGAGAAATAGTTTGATGTAAAGTGATGAGATCAAATTTGCAATTCCTAGCTAGCCCCCAATTTTGTAATTTACATAGTACAGCACATGAATGTAGCTCCATGGTGCGAATGCCGCGCTAACTCGCGTGTAAGACTGTTGCTGCAAATAACGCCTGCTGCAGTTAAAGCCCCAAGGTTTTCTTGATCTCGGCCTTCAGACGGCCAAGACGGCTGGCGCGTTGTTTACCCTAATAATTCAATTCTCCACCACCGCCGCCAGCAACATGGTCGAGATCTTCGTAGCTCTTGAGACTACGACCTTGGGTGGCCTCACGAGGCCCAACTGCCGCTCCTCCAGCAGCACCGTCTCCCCATTTTCCGGCGCCCCCACGGCCTCTTCCACCCATGCCGCCGTCCCAGCGCGGGTTGGGGCGACGGTCATAGGGACCGCTTCGGTAGTTGCCACGGCCACCTCCCATGCCTCCGCGGCGGATCGGACCAGGCCCACTGCGCTCATCACCGCCGCCATTCCAGCCAGACTGCACGCCCGGATGTCCCCCGCCCAGGAATGGAGGGAAGCCGCCAGGAGGCATAGGGAATCCGGGAATCGGCATCATACCATTCATGGTGAAGTTTTGCAAATTGAAACCTCTAGGAGTTCCGGTTGCAGGCTGACCATTCGAAGGCGGGAAGTGGCCATTTGAGTTGGCATCCGTTCTTGACGGAGCGATATGAGATGGATCCATAACATAAGCATTGATGAGATGGAACTGCAACATGTTAGCCAGGGAAGCAACTGTGAATTGGGAAATAGGAGTGCTTACCTCTTGCTCAATGCTCTCGAGCCACTCGGCGTGACGCTTTTCAACGTGCTTCCGCCAGAAGTGCTCCTCCTTGAACAGCTTGACACACTCTGGAACCTTGCATCTCCACTTGTGCTCATCCTCTTGCTTGACGTACTTGAGCGTCTCGTCACTGACGGCTTCCTCGACTGAGCGGCCTCCAAGTTTGCGAAGGTCTACGGTATCAGGCTCCAAAATCTGCATGATCTTGTCCTCGAAGGTCTTGACCCAGTTGTAGGCGCGCAGAAGCTGTTGTTCCGCCTTGCCAGTAGCGCTGCGGAACTTCTTGTCACCATCGGCAGCCTCGCCTTCTTCTTCGATCTCACTGCGCTTCTTGCCAGGGAAAGGCTCGCCGTTGGCGCTAGCACGAGCAACGGCCTTCGCGGCAGAGCCGAGAGTGCTTCTAGGGCGGCGCAAGTGGCCACCGGGACACTTGCGGGTAAGCTCGTGGATGGAGTCACTCTCAAACACGCAGAAGAAGCAAAAGTTGAAGACGCGTCTGAGATACTCAATCATGAGATCCAATTGCTTCTTCTTCACGAGCAACTCTTCATCGTCGGTCTCGTCCTCATCGACGGCGCCTTCGTCCTCATCGTCGTCGATGGCACCGTCTTCACCGTCTTCCATGCCGTCATCAACATCAAGGTCGCGCTCCCGCTTGGCCTTGGGCTTCTTGGCGGTGACGGTCGGCTGAAGACGGCCAGCGTTTTTAAGATCATCAACCCTCTCCTCAATCTTCAAAACAGCGTTGAAGTCGGAGCCAAAGTCCTCTTCGAACTTGTTGACCAATCGCTGAACAAGACCCAAATCCTTTTCGACCCGTTCCGGGGCAGAAAAGAGGTCCCAAAGTGCCTTCTTTCTAGGGTGAGTGGGTGGGTTGTGTACGCCGACGTGGCAAACAAAGTCGCCTCTGACTTCGTCCTTTACAGTCTTGCCATTGATGGCGTCCAAAGCTTTCTCAGCGGTGGATACTACGGCAGGTGACTTCAACGGCATGTCCTCATCCTCATCCTTGGGGTCCGCACGGTCAACCACCGCAGGGGCGACTTCTGATGACGGATGAAGCATGACCCATCCAATGCGGTGATACCGTTTGCTGGGGTTGGGATCGGAAAGTGAGAGCCACTTGAAGCCACCCTCGTCCTCTCCAAGATGCTCCTTGCAGAAGGTCTCGAGGTTCTGGCGACTGACATGAGGCGCGATGGTCTTGATAAGCAAGGTCGGCTGGTAAAGGTTCTCATCTCGGATATCGGCACCATTGGCGGGAACAAGGTCTCCGACACCGAGAATCTCGTTCGCAGCTGTCGCCTCGCCCTCTTCCTTTTCGACGACACCACCGAGTCCATTGCTTTCACTCTTAGGCAGACCCTCGAGAGAAAACTCGTCGAACGTGCCAGACTCAAGGTCCTGCTCCCATTGACCATAAGCGCCCCGGCGGAACTCGTTAAGTTGTGACCTGAAGCCGTCGCGAATCTCAGGGACGTAGCGCTCGCGGAACCACTGCTCCTTTTTGTGCTCGGCAACAAAAGTGCGTGCCATCTTGGCCTGAAGCTCTTCTTTGTAGGCATCGTACGCGGCCTGAATCTTGGACTTCTCTTTCTCGCGTTCCTCTTGAGCCTCACGAGGGCCGCGAACCCGTTCCGGCTCGCGTCGACGTCCACTTCGTTGGCGCTCCTTCTCTTCCTTGATCTTCTCGTTCATGCGCCACCACTCGCCAAAGTAGGAGAATCCAACTTGGTAGGGGAGCTTGACCGGGTCCGCGAGGGGGTTGACAGTCATTGGAGCAGGGCCGCTGTCTTGTCCTGGGACGTATCGATCAATATTGGATGGCGGGGAACTGATGCGTCTGTCTCCGCGGTCGTCTCTGTTTCCCCTGCGATCGTCATCTCTCCGCCCGCCGGCATAGTCATCGCGGCCGCGGCCTCTGGGCTCGTATCGGTCGACAGCAGCTGGTGATCGTGAGCGACGTCTATCGCGACGATCGTGGCCTACAAGATGAGGTAAGCAATGAACCCTTATTGCTGGAGGCGACGCCATTGATCTGAGGCCCTGAATCTACAAAGATTCGATTGATGGGGTTTAGGGAATGAAGTACGCACCAGGAGACCTGCCGCGGTAGAAAGAATCGCCTCGATCGTCCTTGCGCGTGTCGTCGCGACTGCTCCACGTCCTGTCGCCCGGCGAGCGCGCGGAGGTGTCTCGGTGAGAAGAGTACGAGTCCATCTTTGCCTTGCTGTTGCTAAGTCGCGGTAAACAAAACCAGAATGGATGGTCTCTGTTGCTCTTTGTTGACGTGTGGAAATGGGCGGCCGTTCAGCCTAGATTAAGTATCGCGTCGGGTAGCCGCGTTCTCGCTTCTCATGTGGTGTCGGCCGCTTGCTCGATCGGAGGTAAGGAAAGCAAGGAAAGAGGGCGCCTGTTGTTTGGCAACGCGATTGCTGTTAGAGAAATCATTCTTGCGGGAAGGAGCGGCTTTCTGTGGGAAAATGGGAACAAGAGAAAGAGAATTGAGAATTCGGGAGGATAGCAGCAGCAGAAAAGTGGTGCAATTGCCGTCTGGCAAAGATGGAATAAAAACGGCTCGTCTCTAATAGGAGCGACGGAGCAAACGGAAGAAGAAGAAGTATTGGTGCCAAATGAGGCCGGCTTGATAATGTGGATTGACAAACGGAGGATGGGTGACTTTTTTCTTCTGGACAGGGAGCCGGGCGGGAGAGTAGAGAATGTGTTTGGGGAGGAGGGAAGACAGGAGTAAATTGTATCTTGGGGCAACCGGATCAAGGGGATGAAGGGACAATGGGTGCGCCGAGTAAAGATGCTGCAGAAATAAAAAGGGAGAACGAACTATTTCGGTTGCGAGGGCGACTGCCTCGACGATGAAGTGCAGAGTCGTTGTGGTCCAAAGCGGAGGACTCTGAGATGGACGAAGCAGAGTTGGGAACGGGGAGGCTGACCTAGCTGCTGCCGAAGGGCGACGAGACACGAACAAAGGTTCGGCTGGGGAGACCCACTGATGCCAAATGAGGCTTAGCGTGCCCAGAGACTCCTCTTTGGTGCATATATCTTATTGTGGCATATTACCCGCTATGGCTGAGACTTGTGGTACCACCTTTGGGTTTGTCAATATGTGGTGAGTTTGGGTCGTTAAGAGAAGCAATTGTCACCTACCAACTCGACAAAAGGGAATCAACATGGTTTCTCTCCTCAAGTGCCAGGAAGGAAGCCACGGTGTTGCAAGGCTATCGGCAGTCGCGCAGTAAGCGGCATAGCTCCCAGCTGTTCACAGCCGCGGCAAACTGACCGTGGGTCACGTCAAATATTCCCGTCAAGCTAGAGGTGCCCTGGGCTGCAGAACAGTGGCCGATCCCCAGCGATCTCCAGAGCTTCACCCCTGTAGCGACAGGAACATGTCCATCTAAGGAATGGAGTCCCCATCTGTCAGTTTAAAAAGGGTGACAACGCGACAATTAGTGACAGTTGTCGCTAGCCAGTCCTTTCTCAAGAATTGCTAATCACCTGTTGAATCGTAAGTTCATCACCCACTTTCGGCATTTGTGTTCCCCATTTCCCTTTTCATTACAAAGGTCGTGTAAAAGTGCCAGTTACCGTGAAATCCAATACATTGCGTCATAGCTCTGTAGCTATCTCGCATGTCGGAGCAGGACCCGCCCCGAGGCATACCATCGCATGTTCCAGACGAACATAGACCTCGACGCACTTCCCCTATATTATAACAAACATCGCCAACTCTTCTCAACTGCATCTGCTGACGTTGCATTGTTCAAGTTGATACGGTTCCCATAACCTACCGAGCCACAGACATGACGACCTTCATCCCCGCCCTGACGTTACCCCACCAGGTATTCGAGAATGCCGCGGCCTCGATCCTGTTGCCCATTGCTCTAGGAACAGCCGTCGGCTACTCATCTAGACGTGAGTCTATCTGTCTCTCCGCGCGACCTTCAATTTGCTAACCCGAACGGCCGCAGCCAAAGATACCCAAAAGACCTATGCCGCCATCAAGAACCCTCCCCTGCGCCCCCCGCCATACGTCTTTGGTCCCGTATGGACTCTCCTCTATGGGTATGCCTCCCTTGGACACCTCCATCCATGCATGAGCTGACATGGAATACACAGCATGATGGGCTACGCCGCCTACCGCGCCGTCCACAACGGGCTCTCTCCTTTCTCTACAATTGAGCAAATCAACATGACCAAGCAAGGCGCGACCCTCTATACCATCCAGCTCGGCCTCAACCTCATCTGGATGCCCCTCTTCTTCGTCTGGAAACGCCCAATTGAGGCCACTGTCGATATTGTGGCTCTGCTCGGAGTGAACTCCTACCTGACCTACCTGTGGGGCTCCGTCGACCGTGTCGCCGGAGGTCTTCTTGTCCCCTACCTCGGCTGGCTCGGCTTCGCTACCTACCTCTGCGCCGGCGCTGGATACCTCAACAACTGGGATCTCAAGGGCGCCGAGGAGAGGGCCGCCGCTGGCAAGAAGGAGTAGTGCTACTTGGGTTCAGGTTGCGTTGGCACCGAAAAGGGCGGAAAAGAACAAAAACAAGAGTTAAATCAAATGTGACTTTTGTAGGCGTTCAATTTGTCTTCTGAGAAAAACTCCCCTAGGTTTTCTAAAACCAATAAATGGCAGAAAAAAGTTGATATCCATGCTCACGTCTACCTCTTCTAATCTCATGTGAAGAACATTTCACATCTGTTTATGTATATACCAGCCGTCCCGCTACGCCCTCCAAAATGCCATTTTATGGACCAAAGCAAAACCCATCTACCCGCCCAAGTCTAGGATATCAAAAACGAAGAAATGGAAAGTCTACTGCATGGGGAATTGTCGCTTGAGACCGTCAAAAACCATGAAAATGAAGGCCGAGCTGGGCGCGGAGCGCAGGCAAGTGATGCCGCATCCCCGGTATAACCCCCTCAACCCATGTTGCTGCCATACGACAGCACCCTCCTGCCAGAACGTCCGGCCCCGCGTCGCATCGCCGATGGCTGCCGTCTGCATGCGCGACTTGATCGTGTCGGCGGGGAAGAAGAGGAAGTTGTACGAGACACCACCAGAGGCTCCCGCCAGAGCCTGCTGCCATAGCGGCAACGGCTTCGCAGCGAGCGCCTCCTTCTCCGACTGGCTCTTCGCCGCCCTACCGTTGAGGTGGTAAAACAGCTTGGTCACTGTCTCCTTGCTGCCGAACCATGCGGCGCAACCGCCCGATTCGCGGATCAGCGTGCCCATTTGGCCGACCCAAAAACCCTTGATGCCATTGTGTTGGTAGATATCGCGCACGACGGCCAGCGGGCGCAGCTGTGGCGGCGCGGAGCCGTCTGCCCTCGCAGGCGCCTGGATCTTGCACTTGACGAGCTCGACCGGTGTCAGGACGTAGGATGTGAAGAAGCCGGAGAAGGCGCCTGTGAACCAGAGCGCGCCCAGAGAAAGCTCTTGGCCTTGGGGTGTTATGCCGGAAGAGTAGACCGCAGCGCGACCGATGCGTTCGAAGAAGAACAAGCTGCTGTTCTCAAGAGCGGCGCCGACGAGCGGGGCGCTGATGCCGCGGTAAAGACCGAGGACACCCTCGGCCTTGATAGACTGGCGGAAGCAGTCAAGCGGGCCCTTGTAGCGGAGGGGCTGGTTGTCGGGCTGGGATTGGAGTCGAACTTTGACCGTGTCGAAGGGGTATTCGATGTATTTGCCGACTACACCGGCGACCTGTGCGAAATGACCTCGTTAGAATACTTCCTCTACAGCTTTAGGGACGGGGCGCGCGCGACTTACAGATCCGTATACAATGTCCTCAATCGCCTCCAATGCCGCGGTGCGGCTCTTCTTCAACGAGACCGGAGCATCGTGGTGGGGGATGTCCATGGCGGCGCCTGCAGTGTCCATCATGTTGATAGCTGGAACAGATATGTCGCACAATCTACCTCTGCTTTATGTCGTCGTCGTAGGTAGGACAGAAGGCGGACGAAGGGCCAAAACCCCTCGCAGTAATGCCGCAGCAAAGGTCGGTGAAAAAGAAGGGGACGGATTGGTTGTTTGCTGGCTGATCCTATATGCTTGCTTGGTGCTTGTTGGCCGTTTTGCCGCACAAGACGCAATATCGCTCAGCAGCTGCTGCGGCCGCAGGCAGCAAAATGTAACAGATGCGCCAGAAAGGAGCAAGTGCAGGACGGATGAATAGAAGTCTATTCAGCACTGTCCTCACTGCTCCCCCTCGTGCTGAGTTGAATCAGGGAGGTGGGATGACCATAGGACGGTGGGCGCGGGGCAACTGCGAAAAGTAGCCGTACAGAGTGTCGGTCACTCGGAGCGCGTTCCCAAGAGACCGTTTTTTCTTGTCGGTTTTTCTTTGCTGTCGCAGGCTGGGCGAATGAGAAAAGTCTACCGATACCGGGGCGGGCTTAGTGGCTCCAGATCACAGTGTCGATCGAGCTAGCCAGCAGTGACAAAGTGCCTCCTCTGTTCAACAAGAAGGACAAAAAACCGCGCGCGCTAACACGTGGAGGTCGAAGAGGACGAGGAGGGAGCCCGAGAGCAGAGAGGGATGGAAAGAGAGGGGAACGGGGGAGTAATTGCCAACCCTCTCAAGTCATGACTTGGCCGGCGACCCCTCAGGGTTAATACTTATACAAAAACCATGTGAAATGGGAAACGGTGAAGATCCGAAAATTGTGGAGTGTTTAGGCGCAGCAGAAGCAGTAAACTGTGAAGCTAGCACTACCTACCGTACCCAGTAGCCTTCGGGCTCCGTGGATGCAGAACAAGGGAAGGGAACATGTCAAAAATTTTCTCTTCAAAGTCTTGGGTTCAAACTGATTCCGCACTCTTTTGCAGCAAGTTGCAGGCGCCTTACGCAGCCCAGGCCCAGAACGCCCCGGGGCCCTGACATCAGACCGAGAAAAAAGTGACCCGTGGTGGGGTTGACTTGGCTTGGTCGGCGGGAGCTAGCCTTGGAAACCCCGAATCCTTCCCCGCTGTCAGGCACAACTTGGCAGGGAGCAGCATCTGCCCCGCCACCAGCCCCGAGGCGCCGAACGCTTTTGGCTCGGACATAGTAGATTATCACGATAATCGCGGCAGGAGGTCCATCGTGTGGTGGGGTCGTCATCTATTTGGGTGGTACTGCAGTTCGATGGTTTCAGTGCGCCCGTGGCCTGTGGGCTTCAAAAGTGCGCAAGCGACCCCCAACCCCGTCCCAAGAATGGGGTTGTTCCGATCTGAAATGTTTCCCGCTGAAGATTATTCACCAGAGCTTTTTGTTGGAACGTTTTTTGAAAGCAGAGCGTGCGATGGCGAGGATGATGTATGCAGATATACTGGTTGAAGAGAGGCGATACAGAAACCCAGCGACAAGAACGAAACATGGTGTGTGTGCACCGGTATTACTTTTTTGGACTACAGGACACAGCGGCTGCCCTCCCGAGAAACCCCGTTCCGAGTACGCCATTCCATTATTCATAACAACCTAGTCTACAGGCCCCGCTAGGCCATCTTGTGTCTCTTGACAGGTCTCGACTGTGCGGCTTCATGCCGACGAAGCTCCTCCGGTACCCTGGAAAGTGAGCTCTTGGAGAGCATCTGCTTAAGGTCGTAGTACAGATCGGTATCTTCGTTGCCGAGGAACGTAATGGCGACACCGCTCTTGCCCGCACGACCCGTACGACCGATACGATGGGTGTACGCCTCGATGCTTGACGGCATGTTGAAGTTGATGACCAGGGACACGTCCGGCACATCGATACCTCTTCCAGCCAAGTCTGTGGCGACAAGAACATCTGTCTGACCAGCTCGGACGGAAGCAAGGGCTGCCTCTCTCTGTTCCTGGGTCTTGCTTCCGTGAAGGGTGACCGCCGAGTAACCCATATGTTTGACGTCTCTCGCAACAGCGTCGCAATTGCGCTTGATGTTGACGAATACGATGATGGGTGGAGCATACTCGTTGGACGCAAGGATTTCCTGCAGACGCTTCTTGCGCTTGTCCTCGCCGGATACAAACTCCACCCGCTGCTCGACCGTGTCAACAGCCTCGCCAGCGTTACCGATTGTGACAATTGCTGGTCGCCGTAGGTACTTTTTCGCGATTTTCTCAACGAGCGGTGGCATCGTGGCCGTGTACATCATTGTCTGTCTGTACCGGTCCTTTCCACCAAGATACCTCTTCATAATAGCTGCATTCTCTGCTTCTTCGGTGTCTGGCTTCTCGTTCGTCACGGGCAAGGCATCGAGAATCTTATTGACCGACTCCTCAAAACCCAAATCGATCATGCGATCAGCTTCATCCATGATGATGTAGCAGCACTGCGAGAGGACCAAGAGGCGTCGCTCGATGCAGTCTACCAAACGACCGGGGGTTGCGACAATGATCTCGGCACCGTTGCGCAGCGCGAATGCCTGTTCTTCCAGAGAGTGACCACCGACGATACTGACTACTCTAAAACCAAGAGGGCCGGCGAACTTCTTCGCCTCGGTCTCGATCTGCTGAACCAGTTCACGCGTCGGTGCCAGAATGAGTGCGTAGGGGCCGTCGTTGCGGTTGACCTCGGTGAGTGGCGGTAAGTCTGAGATGTAGACAAGCAGCGGTAGCAAGAACGCAGCAGTTTTACCGGAACCTGTGACGGCAACACCGATAAGATCTCTGGCTTGCAGCGCGATGGGGATAGCGGCTCGCTGGATGGGCGACGGCTCTGTGTACCCAACTTGATCGATGATATTGAGCAATCGTCGGGGTAGACCAGACTCTTGCCAGCTGCGCATCGGGTTGGGGATGAGACCGCCCTTCGTTGCGATGCCGAAATCCTCCTTGAAAATTCTCCAGTCTCGCTCCCGCATCTCGTCGAGGGCCTTCTTGGACCAGTGCTTCGTAAGACCTGTACGATCTGCGCGCTCCTTCGCTCGGTCTCGAGCCTTGTAAAAGTCGTCCATAAACTCCTGAGCGCGTCTCTTGCCGTTCTCAGCGTCCGTCTGCTCAATCCTTTTGGCTCTGGCAAGTGCAATACTTTCAGCCTCTGCGTTGAACTCGCCTGCGAGACTGCCAAATGTGTATGACTTGAGCGCCAAGCTTGACTCGTATAAAGGATCATCGTCTCGCGTGGTGTCTTCCTCGGCGTCCCAATCGAACTTGAACTCGGCTGCTCTCTTCCGCTTCTTCTTGACGGAAAATTTCGACTCCTTATTGACTTCCGGGCCGAGATATCGGTTGCGCAGTAGCTCTGCTTCGATCGTGTCGGCTGATTTCTTCTCTTTTCCGTCTTTCGTGGTCGCCTTTTTCGGTTCGGGCTTGTCCCGTCCTCGTCGTCGTCCGCCATCGTCGTGCTGGTTCATAGCTTTTGGGCCGGTTGGGACTCGATCGGGGGCGCCGATGCCATTTGTGCCGTTTGTGCCGTTCGTGACATTTCTTCCGTTACTGGTGTTCGCCTTTGCCAGCCACTTCGCCTCCCGTTCGGCCTTTTCGCGCGCCTCAGCTTCGGCTTTCCGCTTTTGCTCCTCTTGCTCTGCTGCTGCCTTTTCCGCCGCCCGTCTCTCGCGCTCTTTTTTTGGGATGAAACGAGGCTTCGCTGCCTCGGCGGCTGCGGCCTTCTTTTGACGGAGAATCTCCTCCAAATCTAAAGGGGCGCGTTTGCTCATCTTGGGCCTGATGGTAATGATGGGTTGGTGTTTAAAGACGGCGAAGGTCGGCTGGGTTGTAGCCTTACACAATCTATCGTGGCGCGTCTAATGGGTGCACGGGCCATCGAGGTCACTCATGAAAAGCTTCCACACGTCGCTTTAGCCTGTAGCCTCCTTCCGTTGTGTAATACACGAAGGAAGTTATCAAATTGCGCGGGGTGGTGATTGAAATTGCAGCTGTAGTTGCGGCGACAAATATCGAGCTGACGGATATCATTCCTCAGATGGAGAAGGCTGCAACACGCGCCACAGTTTAGCTGCCACAGTTGAGAGGCCAATCATATAGCGTCGCGATCGGCAATACCTGCCCCTCTCTCGCACCGAGCTTCCCTCCCCTGCACCTGCATGTACAGGGGTGGATAAGGCTGGCCAAATTTGTCTCGCAGCCAACATCGTCGCCGGCATCGAATCGTACAGAGAAGCCCTATCGACCAGCGAAACCCCTCCAATTCCTCCCCGAACCTCCGAACGGCACACGATTCTCTCGACGTCCAGGGAGGGTGTTCAATCGTACGGCACACCCGTTCAATCGACCAAAGGAGGTCACTTAAGCGGAGGAAACCACGGGAAAAAAATGTCAGCACAAAAGCACATCGCGCTGGCCAAGGCCTTGCCGGAGCAACTACAGCGCTTCTTCGCTCGTTGGCCACCCGCCTCTATTGCTCCCGCCGGCGCTCCCAAGACTGGCTTCCAAGAGCTCACGCCGAATCCGTTCGCCGCCCACAAGCACCCCGATACCGGCAAGTGGCATGACCCTGTCTACTCGTTGCGTCGACAAGCCGAGCTCGTCAAGCTCGCACGCCAAAATGGTGTCGAGGAGCTTCTGCCACCCACGGTCAAGGGTACCGAGGCTCGCATCGCCAAGCGTGTCGAGTTTGGTCTGAGGGTCAAGGGTACGGGTGTGGGACAAAAGGTCAAGGGAAAGATTCACGAGAGAATGGTCATGCCCAGGTATATCGTCATGCCACGTCGTCTTGGAGGACCAACAACTGACAAAGTGCTTCAGGATGGAGAAGAGGAGAGAGGCTATGCTGGCGATGCCCAAGCTTATCAAGGAGTGGAAGAAGGTAAGTCGACTGTTTACGCATGGTGTTTTTGGAGCATGCATACTGACGAGGTGCATAGGTTGGAAAGAGAAACTGGAAGAGGTTCCCCAAATAAACGATTTCTTTCCCTGTTCAACTTACGAGGCGACAATGGCTTTAGACGCTGTACATATACCATGTATTATCATGTACAAGAAACGGATCAAACAACTCCCAAAGCTGTTCGCCCATGTCATGCTGCGACTCGTCGCTCACACCGACCATACCTGCCACTACTATGACGGCGTGTCTATGACATTCACAGTGACTTTGGACAAGTGTCTTCAGCACCTCACTGGATTTTGCATTGCGCATCATTTCTCCCACGATCACTTTGGATGCACAAGTTGAGTTGGGCCATCCAGTCCTCTCCCCTCACGTGACCCATAATCAGTGTCTCCTCAAGCTCCAATTCGCCAGAAAATTTCACTTACAAAATCGCCCAGCATCAACTACAAGGGGATTTTCACCCCCCTTCCACGCTCAACATGAGTTCCTCCCCTGCAGCACCGGGCGGCCACACCCACTACACAGTCCTCGGTCTCACTCGCAAGCTGCTGCAGGAACAAGCGGCAGATCAGTCGCAACAAGTCATCAAGCGGGCCTACCACAGGGCTCTTCTCCAGAACCACCCGGATAAATACCCACAACTAAAGGGTGACGGATCTACAGCCTCAGATTCGGCAAGTTCAAGGTCGCCAGCGAAATCTGACGTCTTGACAATTGATCAAATTTCCACGGCATACAAGGTCCTGTCGGATACCAAGCTCAAGGCGGACTATGACAGGTCTCTCGATCTCGCACCCAACAACCAAGGCTTAAAGCGGGAGGAGGCGTTCCAGACGGGTATTGAGAACGTGGATCTTGACGATTTGGAATTCGACGAAGGACAGGAGTGTTGGTACCGCAGCTGTAGGTGCGGGAACTCCCGAGGCTTCTTATTCACGGAGGGAGATCTGGAGGAGGCGGGTGAGAACGGGGAATTGCTTGTTGGATGTCAAGATTGCAGTCTGTGGATGAAGGTCCATTTCGCTATAGTGGATGAGTGAGATGAATTATAAACACAAATCGAGCCCTAGCTGCAGATAAGTGAGTTGCGTGTCAAATTCTTGTGGTCGATCTCTACAGTGCAAGCATCACATTCTGCCAATGTTCAAAAGCTGCCGGGTGTGCTTTTTTGAAAGCAATTTTAGTCTTTTTTTGTTGTTGTCCAGACGGTCTTGCATTAGAGTCTAAGAAAGCAAACCTGGGTACGACCTCCAAAATGCTCTTCTTTAGCCTCAGCTAGTCCCGTAGGAAAAATCAACCCCTCACGATTCTTGTGTATTGCCTAAACGATGCCTTTCGCAAAATGAAATCTCCAGTCCACACTCCGTAGACACCAGTCCACCCAAATTCCGGCGAATAACGCAGGTTTGCAGAGAATGAATGCTACGAAACCAACCCCTTACTCAGCCTTGGGCTCCTCAGAGGTAGCAGCCGGTGCCTCGGCGGCACCCTCCTCCTTGGCCGCAGCGGGGGCCTCAGCGGCGCCTGACGCCGCGGGCTCAGCCTCAGAAGAAGTCCAGAGGGTCTAGAAGGAGTTAGCGACTATCTTTGACAGAAACGTTGATTTGTCTTACCAGGTTGTCACGGAGCAGCTGCATGATGAGGGTAGAGTCCTTGTAGGACTCCTCGCTAAGAGTGTCCAACTCTGATAGCATAGTCAGCAAACGAGTCATAGCATAGATATCGGTAGTACTAACCGGCAATGGCATCATCGAAAGCCTGCTTGGCCAGGTGGCAGGCCTGGTCGGGAGCATTAAGGATCTCGTAGTAGAAGACGGAGAAGTTGAGGGCGAGACCAAGGCGAATGGGGTGGGTAGGGGGAAGCTCGGTCTGGGCAACCTCGGTGGCAGCCTTGTAGGCCTCGAGAGACTTGTCGGCGGAGTCCTTGCGGCGATCACCAACGGCGAACTCGGCGAGGTAGCGGTGGTAGTCACCCTTCCTGTTCACGTAATCAGTATTGCTTTCGAATAGCCAATTTGGACGTCCATCCTTACATCTTGTGGTAGAAAACCTTGGACTCGCCAGACTTGGCGGAGGGAATGAGGTGCTTGTCGAGAACGTCAAGGATGTCGTCGCAGATCTTGGCGAGCTCGGCCTCGATCTTCTGACGGTACTCCTTGATCAGACCGACCTGAGAAGAGTTGCCCTTAGACTCCTCCTTCTGCTCGATGGAGGTGACGATTCTCCAGGAGGCACGGCGGGCGCCGATGACGTTCTTGTAAGCAACGGAGAGCAGGTTGCGCTCCTCGACGGTCAGGTCACGGTCCTCAGAGGCCACGATCTTCATGTTCTCGACCATCTCTGGAAGCCCGTTCATCAGTATAATCCATCAGACATGAGCAACGGAAACCACGTACCCTCGTAGCGCTCAGCCTGCTCAGCAAGCTTGGCCAAGTACACAGCATCTTCGTGACCCATTTTGGCGGTTATGATCTGTGGCGGTCGAGACGGATTAGCACGTGTAGGCGGCGGCGACGGTGATTGTGCGCTCAAAATGGAGAATCAGGAAGACCTCGATACGAGAGGCGCCGAAGAAGGCAAATTGAGGGTGGCAGGGCGGGCATGGCGATTGAGGACGGATAGGGCGAACCGCAGCGTATGCGCCTCGCTGACTTCATCACTTGAATGAGGCTCCCCGCTCCTGGTGGGGTTTCGCGCCTGACCGATCTTGATAGGGCGCGCGAACTTGTTGAGGCGTTCAATCGGAAAGAGATCAAGGCATGGACGGCATCGTCTCGGAGCGGTCGCCCGGTCTTTGGCGAGGGCGGTTGTTGGGAATCGGTGGAAGGAGATTGCGGCGAGGGATGCGATGACGACAGAGGGGGCACGGGGGATGGGGGAGGGGACCACGTACCTTGGTGCGATGTTTTGAAGACGGCGGGGATGTTCTGGTGGAACGATGGATAGTTGGCAATGGATAAATCCCGTGTCGAAAATCGAAAGATCCGGAGCAGGGGAAGGGGATGCGTCGAAGGGTAAAAAGAGGCGGGTGTGTTGACGTTTGCTAATGTAGTGCGAGAGTTTTGAAGTTGGGAAAGTTGATGAGACGAAAAGGTGATGGATGGAAATTGAGGAAGGGGCTCTGGACACTGCACCGGGCAAGACAAGGCGGCGACTGACCAGTGAGTGACTGGGCCTGGGAGCGACTGGACGTGGTGGACTGGCTGGGGACTGGACTGGACGTGGACCGGGACCTGCTGGGACTGGACTGGGAACGGGGGCCCGACATTCACTAGACAGTACCTTACTGGCTGGCTTGGACGAGCAAGCACGCTGGCCAATCCCCTTTTTCGCATCCACTGTAGCAGGTGCCCTTGTGTTTTGGTACTGCTAGCCCTGGAATGGCTGGCTCACGTGAATTGCCTTAGGTACCTAGGCGGCCTGGAGCAGCCCAGACGACGGGACTGACTGGACAGAGATGCCTTCCTTACCTCACCTCTCACCTCTACATAGTAGGTGCCCAGCCCAGGTGAGGTAAGGTACCGCGAGGTAGCATAAGGTGTGGCGGCTGTGCGCTGCGGCTGAGACTGCGTATGCCTTTTGAGGGTCTGGGGAGGGGAAAGTGCTATCGAATCTCCCCCTCAGCGCCGCCAAAGTCTGTTTGAATCGTGCCTTCCTCGCGTTCAATTGCTGGGTTTCCTTCCCCCTTTATTGCGAACCTGACTCTGCGACACACGGTGGGGGGGACAGCAGAGGTACAAAGCGGTACCTCTCGTCGGATGCTCTTTATTTGCGTGGATCGACTTCCCCAGCACGCGGCGCCCCTTCCCCAGGGCCGTCGGCCTTGGTCGGTGGACTCCAGCACGAATGCCTCTGCTGCCGCCGGCTGACAAGCAATACCTGGCACCAGGCAGTTCAAGTGCACCAGCGGGAGCAAGTCTTGATGACCTCAACAAGTACGAATGCCTGTCTCTTGCTGCAGCCATGTACTATATTGATAAGCCATGCTGCGTTTCTTCGCGTCACTTTTCAGCGCGTTCATGCTGATGTTGATGCTCATGCTTCCTCCTAGCCCACGGTGATAAGGAGGCATGCTCAGACAGTGAGCTACCGCAGGCTTCTCCAGCTCTGCAGTCTGCTAGGTGGCATGGTCTGCTAGGTGGCATGCCACACGCATATCAGGGACTCCAAATGCCAAAAACCGAAGCCGAACCCCTCCTTCCCGTCTCCCCATCCCACTTCGTCTCTTCTTTTCATGCAATCGCCGTCCTCCGTGCCCATCGGTGTCGTCCTTTGAGTTCAGGCACTTGTGCAGTCCCGCTGCCTTGCCTGTAGTTGGGTAGCGGCAGTCCCGTTTGAACCATAATTAGGTGCTTCCTCGGTGGCCCCTGCCTGTCTGGGTTCTAGACCAGAAACCATGTGCCCTTTTTGTACATTTCCAATGCATCGAGACGGAGCGAAATCGCAGCTATCATCATAAGAACTAGGCTCAGCAAGGCGGAGACATGCTCGTCGAGGCAGCACTTACACACGCGGCCGACATACGGCGCCTAGTAGCCGCCTCGCTCTCTCCACTAAGGGCACCTCACCTTGCAAGACAAAGACGGAGAACGTCGCACCACTCGTGCGCGACAAACCCCGTCAGCCGCGCCATCTTGCAAGAGACAGATCGCCCAACCCATCTCCCCCATCTTTCCCATCTCAAGCTACCAGAGGGGCATCCCAGTCGTGAACCAGATTCAGCCTTGCCGGAGATGACATGACCTCAAGGCTACCCTACTGCTCTCGGACGGCACTTCGTAGATCTGGAGACCGGCTAGCCTATCCGAATCTGTTTCGTGGTCTGTCGTCCATCACCACACGAGCCGGGCAGAGAAAGTCACGAGCTTGATGACTCTTACAGGAGCCCTGATGAGGTACAATCAATCATGCACGGATTCTAGCAGAAAGGCAGTCAGTAGCATTGGTCGTGGTCGTCCATGCTGCAGGGACAAGGCCGCCATCTATCGCGGAATTATGCAGGCTTGGTACATGGACGAAATGCTTACTCGTCCAGCTGCCAGTCCCAACAGTCTGGACAAGGCAAAGCGCCCTCCCGCTGACCGGAATCGGGCGATATCAGTGGCCTGAGTAAATATGGTCTTATTCAATTATTCTGCCCACCAAGCATCGAAGCCGAGAAATGCCGGCAGGTTCCTTGTTAGCAAAGTACCTCAACCTACAGTAAAAATGACGTATCACTTCCCGTACTCGGGTAAAGAAGTTGACCGAAAGCTCCCTCGCCCTCCAACGCCTTCCAAGGCCAGGTTCGTTCCAAGGATCAGATCATGGCAGGCAGAAGGGCCTAAGAGGAGCGTAGCCACACAAAATCACAGCCGCAGCTCCCCTCTATTCGGTCCCTCCTGCCAATAGGCATTTAACCAGCACCAAGATCTCCTTTCCTCCGTTCTAGCGCTCGTCAGCACCGACCACCCACCTCCACAATCCAACCTATCACAAAAAGCGAAGGTCCCAGCACCATCGTCATCGGCCATCTTAACAACCCAAACCTCAACTGCAATTGCTTTGCTATTGTACATCCTCCTCTTTCAAATCACTCCTCCAAACACCGCCAAAATGCTTCGCGTCGCTGCCACCAAGGCCGCTGCCCGCCCTCTGACCCTTGCTTCCAGAGCTGCCTTTACCACCACCACCAGAGCTATGTCCGAGGGCGACACTGGAGCTCCTCCCAAGATGGGTGGTCAAGGGTGAGTTCTTTTTCGCTCAATCGCATCGTACGATGGTTTGGCAACTACTGCCGATCGTTCATGTGTTCTCCTGCTCCTCAAATGCTGATCATTCGCAGTGACGCTTTCCAGCGCCGTGAGAAGGCCGCTGAGGATATGGCCATCCGCCAGCGTGAGCGCGAGAAGCTTCTCGAGCTCAAGAAGAAGCTCGCCGAGCAGCAGGCTCACCTGCAGCAGCTCTCTGACCACATGTATGTCTCGCAAAACATGTCTTCTCACCAGCTTCAGTTCCACTAACAATCGGTTTCAACAGCGACGAGATCACCAAGAACCAG